TAAAAAAATGATAAAAAAATTTAAAAACTTAAAGGAGATTAGACTTGACCGTTAGTTGACCATAAATTTCGTTAAATCGACTAAAAGTGGTGAATAAACAAAAAGACGGTGACCAATTTCATCAGTCAAAAATTAATGGTGACTCGAAGTTGTGATTCCTCAAAGTTACCATAACTGCATTTTGTCTTTCAAACAATAAACTTGAAGTTCTAACGATTTGGATGAAAGGATTGAAAGATATCATACATTTGCCGAAATCAAACAATATAACCTTGGATCCGTGAGGATATTGGTTCTGCGTATCTATAGTACAACAAATAAGGATGTTCAATAAATGAAATGAATTACTCGACACCACATCTTATTTGTCGTATGTAAAATGGTAGTTCGCCAAAAGCAATCGAACAGATAAACCATAAGTATCCATAAGTTGAAATTGTATGTCAAAAGACTCCTCTGCCAAAAAATCCATTTGGAACCCCTGAATCTGGTTCTTCTCTTGCGAAAACCATACATTATGGCTATTGCTTCCTTTCACGTGCATTTTTTCTTTTTCAATTTTTCCTCGTCAAAGAAACTAATGCAAGGCAGTGCGATTATTAGCTTCAAGGTGAACCACTTCATTGGAACTTTAAATCTAAGACAGCAACATGTAAGGTGATTAGCAAACGGAAGGCCTACAAATTCTGCTACATATCAGCTAAAACCCTACAAAACACAAGTTTTAAATTAGAACATGCATGATCTATTGGAACCAAAATTAAACTTTAACTATATCATTCCACACCACACGCGGTATCATATTAGCCCTCCCAGATTATGAAGTAAACCAAAAGCGAAGTTAAGCTCATCCCTAATTCAAATGAAACAACACTAAATCTTGAATACATAGTAAAATTACAAACAATCTAATACTATACGATTACATGCCATAAGATATCTTGCTCTTTCTCAATGAAAAACATGTCACTGTACTCATCTCATATTATGAAAGGTGAATTCATCCCTTGTCTCTTTGATAAAGGATTTATTCTAGGGCCAAGGATTTGGAGTGAAATTGGGTGAATGGTAACATAAACCTATGTAAGCATAGGTGGAGTATGATGACATGGAGTCATCTATGGGGTTGGATTCCCTCTATAAACTGGAGACACATCAAAATTCCTACTCAAGCTTAAATATTATCATGTCTATTGCCATCGACGATTCATATTGCTCTCACAGATCAAACCAGTGGACACATACTTATTATGACATCAAGACGGATAGGCAAATAAACAACTCTGACATAAAAGGAATAACAATTGACAATTGTTGAAAGTTTGAAACCATTAACTTCATAAAGTGTCATGATATTAATGTTTTTTTAAAAAAAAAAGAAAAAGAAAAAAGAAAAACAAACCAAAATGTGTATATTTCATAGCCATTCTAGGCAAACACTTGAGGGCAACATGGACACTTCAAATGGAATTAACACATTTGAGTTTACATATACTTAAATTAGAATGTTAAACAATCCCTAAAACCGGAAACTTGACTTACAGTACACTTGCCTCCGCAAGCCGCAAGAGCGCGAAAGTAATTAACGGCGGTTCAACACATCTCCATCCTACTATTTATGCTGTATGAAGAAAACATATGAATAATAGTTAATGAGAAAAGTGAACCCACTAATCGCAGCAAAAACAATAGATTCAAAGCACCATTGAAGAAAACCAAGGCTAACACCAACCTACTAATAAATGCTGTTAAGAGTGTTATTCATATGTTAGATTTTATTTTCCAGATATAAGTTGTTTCATCCATTACTAGGTGTTCCTGAAATTGATACTTTTGACCGCTAATGTTGCCGGTGCCGGCTGTTTAAATGATTTCATTTGAGAATTGTTTTATTTTGATGGATAAAAAGAGTAAAGGGTGGAAAGTACAAAAAAATAAAATGCTCCCTAGCGGAAATTAATACCAGTGGCTGATAAACACATTCTTGCCAGAATGTTCAATCAAAATTGTAATTTGATACACACAAATTGTCATCAGGCTTTTTTAAATAAGGTTTTGTTTGTTATAATTATATGATAATATGGGTATCCAACCACAACCCAGATTTTCAACCAACAACAACCTGATGAATAATCATATACAAGCGATAAATAATCATACAGAACGGATGAATAATGAAATTGATGAACAAGAACAACATTAAATCCCAGGATTATAAACTCATATTTTCAACCAATAACAACCTGATGAATAACCATGCACAACGGACGAATAATCATACAGAACGGATGAATAATGAAATTGATGAACAGTAACAACATTAAATCCCATGATTATAAACTTAGAATTCCACCCAATAACAATATGATGAATAACCACACACAACGGATGAATAACCATACAGAACGGATGAATAACTAAATTGATGAACAACAATAACGTTAAATTTTAGATTTTCAACCGACAACAACATGATGAATAACCATGCACAACGGATGAATAACCATACACTACGGATGAATCTATAAATAACAGCTGTCATACCCATGAAATTACGAATCTTTTAGACTATAAAATTCATGAATAATCTAATTGATACTGATGAATAATGAATTCTTTACAAAGAAAAAAAAAACAAATTGGATCTATGGAGCTTAGATCTACGAAACCCATCATCAACTAGTATAAAATACAAAAACTTTAATAGATTAATATGTATTACCTCTGAGCCATCTGGGGTTTTTTTGACGTGCTTTTCATCGAAGAACTCAAATATGGTTTTATGATTGTTTTCTCCGGAGAAGAATTGCTTTTCCCATCCTTCGACATGAATTTGTAGATCTAAAATTTATTTTTTCCATCAGCAGATCTAAATCCGACGATTCACCGTATGGATTTGAACTGCAGATCAAAAACATGGAGCGGAGGTTTAGAGAATTTCAAACGAGATTCACCGATTTGATTTTTGAACGGCAAATCTAAATTGAAAATTTAAAAAATTTATGAATCGGAGAATAATGGGAGAATGTCACAAAGAAGAACTGCAAAAAAAAAAAAGAGAAAAACCCAATATTGTTTGGTATTAATATTTATTTTGTTATGAGAACTTAAAAATTAAAAATCCAGAAAAAAGGGGTTGGGGGTATTTTTTTTGGAGCGTGAAACACACGCTAGGAGCACCATACTAGGAGCACCATACTAGGAGCTCCTAGGAGCTTATTATTGGTCCAAGATTAATAGATTATTGCAATGATAGAAAATCAAACATCACGGGAAACATGCAAAAATAAGGAATCAGCGTACCAACAAATAATTTTGTGTGCAATTTTTTTTTTAGAGGGGATGATCGACATCCTTTGCTTGCTTACTGATTGTCGTAACGTATTGCATTAGAGCAATATTAGGTTTCATCTCATTAATCAGAAATCTTTTTCTCAATCTTTTAGATCTTAGTGTTTATAGGAATGAGTTTATGGCAGTGGCGAAGCTAGGGGGACGAAGGGGTGTGGTTGCACCTGCTCAATTTTTTAAATTAGTATAGATATCCTAAATTTGTAATAAAAAACTATGATTATATAATTTTTTGCACCCAATATATTAATTTTCATGCTCATTAGTTGTTTTCTTTTAAATAAATTTTGCACCCCTTGTGTTGATTTTCTGGCTTCTCCACTATTTCTAGGTGATTTTTTTTTAATATTGTTTACGAGCTGGCGAAATAAAATCAAATTGTGATTAATAAGGAAAAAAGAGAAATAAGAAAAGAGGAAAATGAAAAAAAATAAAAAGTATTTAAGTTTTTTTAAAGTGGCGTGAAATAAAATCAAACTGTGTTTAGAAATAATTTTTTTTTCATATTTATTTCCCTGGTTTTTTTTTTTTATAAACGAAAGGATTCCGTTACGGATAACGCCATAACCTACAATTGTATATGTTCGATTTTGTCTTAATTAGCTGAAGGGGAGTTGGGGAAAAAAAAGGCCGTTTTCAATTTTTCCATTCGAACAAAGTGATAAGAACGATGAGCACAGAGTGTTTAACTGTAGAATGTCCTTTTTTTTTTTTACCATATTAAAAGGTCAGCAATCAACATCAAAGATAAAAGAGAATGATAGTTAATTCTGATTAATTTAATGTCACCAAACTTTAATAATCAAGTTTGCTTGTTGTACCGAATTAATTTTTTTTTTTTTAACATACATATCCGGTATCTAACCGTTATTGTTACACTCTTGGGTGTCGACTGACCGCTGATTAATCCGGACTCGAGGTAGGTAAGTCCCTTTCGGGAGACAACCTCTACCAACCAATCTTTTAACACGGCTGCGTACGCAAGGTCTCGAACCCGAGACCTCTGCTTAAGCAGGATCAACACCCTGCCAACTGATCCAATAGCTGGATGGTACCGAATTAATCTTTAATATTGCAAACTATGCAAGACTGCATTTACCTTTCTCCTCCGATGGGTCAACTATGATTATGTGCATAACAAAAGAAGTGGACATATGGATCATTACAATGATCAAAATCACTTCTTATAAGTGTTAAAAAAAATCACTTCTCTTATAAGTGTTCTTTTTCTATCTTTCAAATTGTGCTCGAACATTTTAGCCCTTTCTTCTATCAAAAGTTTACTCCAAACCAAACTCTAACTAAAACTCTAATATTTTGTCATTTGTGGAGTAAATATGCGGAAATCCTCATTTCTCATCATAATAATCACCACCTAATCAACTGCCAGCAGTAGCACACGTCTGACTCCTATCCCTTTGAAAATTACAAAATAAAGTAATCGCTAAAAAATTTACCAACTTAACAAAGAAATTAATCACGATTATCAACGACACCAAACGCGGGAGTTGTATAGGTCAAAATATAAACTACTAATTGTGTTTTAATTTACAAAAAAAAAAGAAAAAGAAAAAAAAAAGACAAATTGATTTTAAGTAGATCTCGCCCATACATAGCAGTTTGGTCAATATATATAGAACCAGCTCATTTACACCGCAACCGTCCCGTGAGTTCTAATACCAAAAGAAAAGAAGAAGAATAAATCCATCGAACAATTCCTTCCCTTACACACACGCGTATATAACTATATAAATACAGACGAGACTTGCAAAATACCAGCTCTTTCCATTTCATCATTCAGAACCTCCAGAAGCTTTCAAGGAAGATTTAGATATAAAATTTTTTCCACCGATCACAAACATCTCCAGCTATATAGCTCAAGGCAATAATCAAAGATTGAGGTATTAGAAGCAATTAATTAATATCTATTAATTGATCGATTGATGATATGGTGGAACTGGAGAATCCGGAGGTGATGCGGAGAGTGATAAGTCTGGTGTCTGCGATTCTGGAAAGGGTTTCGGAGACAAACGATTTGAATGGAAGGTTTGGTCCTCAGCGAATATCGGTGTTCCATGGCCTAATTAGACCTTCCATTTCCATTCAAAGCTATCTGGACCGGATTTTCACTTATGCCAACTGCAGTCCTTCGTGTTTAATCGTGGCCTACATTTATCTGGACCGCTTCTCCGAGAAGCAGCCATTTTTCCCCATCAGTTCCTTCAATGTCCACCGCTTGATCATCACCAGTGTCATGGTTTCTGCCAAGTTCATGGATGATTTGTGAGTTAACTCTCTTTATTCAACTCATTTTTTTTTCTCATCGATCTACATTTCCTTTATCAAGCTTATTCAGTTCATTAATCTGCGCCGCTGGCATTTTCCTTGTCGATCAGAGGTCTCTCTATGTTCTTGATCTTAACAATTTTTTATTTTAATTTATTTTATTTTGAAAAATAAAAAGGCAAGAAGCTACCCAAAATTAAGTATTGTCCAGTTGGGATTTTCACTTTTAGTTTAACTGGACAATAATTTCGGCACAAGAGGGGTAAAAGTTTTGCTAAGTATATGTGCCAATTGTATATTTCTCCTCTAAATCATTTTCTTTTTAGTAAGTTACCACAGCTTAACATGATTTAATTGAAATGAAAATAAAGTGTCACTGAAAGTCTGAAAATACCGTACGTTATTGTGTATTTATATTACAAAAATGTAAAAGTTGCACACAAATTAGTGCCTAATCGGGAAAACATAAGGAGAATAAAACTATGCCCAATTAGTAGTAGCCTCGAAAAGCATATTTTAATTAATGCGATTTCGGCATATTGCCTAGTTCTAGGAGGAAAAAAAAAAAAGAAGAAGAAGAAAGATTGAGAACTTTCTCTCCTTTGGAATTTTCCATAATTTCAAAGAAGTTACGTTGAGATAACGCACAAGGAAAAAGGAAAGGAAAAACTGTTTAAAAGGATCATAATTTAATTTATGGTCTCTAGAAAGTAAATTAGATGCTGTCGTTAACCGCCGGGTGCATTACAGTGTAATTCATTGATTCCCTATAACTTGCAAGCATCAAGTTAAATCATCAATCCCAAAAAGGGAAAATGACGAGTAAAGATGAGAGGAAATCATCATTGATTTTTGCTTCCTTTTCTTTATTCCCTTTCTATCATGATTCACGAGAGGTCCAAAAACCACTTTATACGAGGCGTCCCGTTTGCTGCAATTGCATGTAACCGTGTTCTTTGTCCTCATGAATGCGTTACAATTTCGGCGATATCCAAATTTATATTCAGGGGGAAAAAAAAAACACATTCTAGTACGTACAGAAAATTATCACAACAATTTATATCTTCGAACTTTTTTATGTTTCATGGTCCATCGTTATCTTTGTACAATTGTACTGGGGCGTGATCTCCAATGGAATTGAATCAATGGCGCCAGCTCTTTTGAGTGATTCACGTCTCCACCATCTTTGCAATTATATTGTAGTAGTTCCAACTAGCAAGTTATGGTATACTTTTATATTCTATTGTGTAATAAATAAATGCTTATCCAATGCATAATTTCTGCTTAGGTGTTATTGTTATTATTATTATTACTCCCTCTGTCTTAAAATTATTGTCCAGTTTGAGATTTCACTTTAGATTAATTTGAACTAGAAATAAAAACCCAAACTGGACAATAATTATGGGACGGATCGACGGAGGGAGTATTATTTTTTGGATATTAAAGTTTGTACTTGATTGGCTCTCGTGTTCAGGTTTTACAACAATGCATTCTATGCGAAAGTAGGGGGAATCAGCACAATGGAGATGAATATGCTGGAGATGGACTTCTTATTTGGGTTGGGATTTGAATTAAACGTGACACCCACCACATTCTACTCCTATTGTTCCTGTATTCATAAAGAAATTTGGCTCCAGCATCCTCCTTTTCTCCCACCCACCTCATCAATTCACAACAACCTCGGACCTGATCAGGATCTCCATTTTCGCACATCTGATGATGAACCGGCTCATCGGCAACAACAGTTAGTCGTTTGATTAATGACAAAATTGTCAAATTCAAGATGTGTGGTTACCCGATATCATGCATTGTTGATTGAGTTGAACTTATTACTTACTAGTAGTATTTTATATATACCCGTATGGACCATAAAATTGAAGATCCAAGTTTTAGATATTGTAATCTCAAATTTCTGCTGTAAAAATGACATCTGCTTTTGTTGACTTACGTGGGGACCATATCGTGCAATTGATTTAGGCCGTCTGTTTTTCCTTTTTTTTCCTCTTCCCCTATTTGTGTTGTGCTCAATTGCCCATAGAATTTCTTCCCCCGGGGGTAATGAATAATGATGCTATGGGCACCGTCTCTCTCTAGTTTGTATAATTGAATTAGGAGTTGGCAAATAAATATACTCCCTTCCTCCCATAATTATGGTTCACTTTACTCAAAAAATTTTGTCCCAAAATTATTGTCCAATTTGACTTTTTATGGATCAAGTTACACATTTATCCTTAGTAAAAAATATTATCCATAAAATTTTAGTGGTTAAATAATTACTTATGTAGGGGTATATCCGATTGTTTAAGGTAAAATATAGTTAAATTTGACCAAAAATAAAAATTTTCATTTTAGTAAAATTGGACAATAGTTATGGGACAGAGGGAGTACTAAACAATTGGGATGATAGGAATTTGCAGTTGGAAAACTTCCTTGGAGGCAATACTATACCGGAGGGTTGAATATCTTATGCATCATACTAGTTGACTGTAAAATTAGTAAAGATTATTCCCAAGTTCTAAACTGAGAAGTTCGTTCGTTAAAAGATCACGGCTTCAACTCACATGCGACGCGAGGAAGAAATAATGTTGTATTTGAAGTTCCCAGTCTAATGTGTACCATCACTAGTATTGTACTCCATCTGTTTCCATAATTTCTCATCCTAATGAATTTTCAGTACCTCTCGAATCTTGATCAGCCAATCTTTTGGTCGTGGCAAGTAGGTTTGTCTTCTCACTGAGAGTGGTAGTAAGTCAACTAGCTAATGACTATTTTGGGTCCCTTCCTAATGAAATTTTCCTCAAGTTACGCTATCATTAAATGCTAGTATATGGAATTGAGAGGGATTAATTTGTGTTTGTGGACAATGACGGATCGAAAACTTTCAAATTGGAGGGTCGAAGTAGAGAGCTATTCAGCTGCAAAAACCTTAGCTGCCGGACACTCCTACTAATAATGGGCCGAGCTGCAAAAACTTCAGCTACCGGACACTCCTACTAAGGGAAAATCCGGTCAGCCAAACGGGGGTCGATAGTTCCCTGACCCCCTAATTCCGTTCATAGTTGTGGATTTAGAAGGGAGCTCTAAAAGTGTCAATGTTATGCGTTGCTGACTTGCACGTTGACGTTCATGTGGGAAAATATGAATAGGAGAGGACATGATCAGTATTAGCCCCAACTTCCAGCATCTTGGCCCCTTGGGATCGAGTTGGGGCCTGGGGGTTATGACTTAAAGTGATCAGCAGTAAGGAATTCAGTCAGTCCTACATTGACATTTTGGCCTTACAATGCATTAATATCGTTCATATTGCTGGGTTACTTTGACTTACTACTTCAAGTTGCGAAATGGAAGCTGTCTTCGTAGCACGCCCATTAGTTCACACGCATACCAAATGAATCCAAGAAACTAACTAGCTCGCCGGAGATTCTAAGATAGCATGAAATATGCATTAAGTATTCAGATCCAGATTACACAATTACGTACCAGGTGATATTCAAAACACGAATCCACACACACCAACACGTACAGATTGAAAGTAGATAGGGAACAAATTAAACTCACACATCCACTATATTAATATTTCTCACATTCCGCAAGTGGTACATATCTGCATATATAAAGGCTCATTTCATGCCCATGGGGATACTTCGTTACTGCTATTGCGTACATACTAGCTACTACTTTTAGATGATGATATATTAGTAGCTGATATACATACATATATATGTTACCAGAACATCTAATATTGTAACCGTTACATTTCCGGTACGCATCTATAGCCATGGCTGTTCTTTTGTATATTTGGAGAAGTAACAACAACTGGAGGCCCATTTTTAACCTTCATTCGGATCAGCGGTTGGATTAGACCCGTTATCAGTTCCGTCAACATCGCTGCCTCCGCCAAAACCATTAGCAAAACTGGCCCAATTTGTCGCGCCGTCACGATCATTTGGATCGTTTCCCCCGCCAAATCCATACCCACCACCACCACCAGCACCGCCGCCGCCGGAGCCCGAACCACCCGAACCGCTGCCCCAACCGAATCCAAAGCCCCCACTTCGGCGATCCGGTGAGTGGCCGGAGCCAGAGCCGTAACCCCATCCACCTTCAGGAGTGGAACCCCATCCCCAGTGAGAGTCCCAATTCGGACCATGAGCTGAACCGGTTTCCCCAGACGGAGTTCTCTCCACTGAGCCGGAACCTGGAGTAGCCGCCGTCGGTGGCGCCGAATTCGTCTTCTGTCCTCCTACTCCTTGATCATCCCCGTTAATCTGACCTGAAAGGATCAGGAAAACAACTAACAGAGAAATCAGCTGGAAAACGCTAAGCTTCATTGTCGTTTGACCAAAATAGATTTGGAAGATAGATACTATAGTGCTGCTATTTCTGGATATTCTCGGGTGTCATGCAGTTATGTACAAGCCTATTTATAGCTGAATACTATGGTAAATCATCGTCCAATGTAAATTTTTATTTTTGGTTAAAATTGTGTTACAATAATGATTCAAATTGAATAATAATTTTGAGTTGACTGGAGTGAATTGGTGGGAATTAATTGATTTGTCGTATTGGGTTTTCTTTTACATCATCTCTAACACAAAAACTGTCAAATCTTCAATCATGCCCCGTGATACCAAAAGGAAGCCGTGGAGGGGCACTTGTCCTCCTCAGGGCCAGCCACGGATTAGTAGTCTTCTTGCTAAGCTCAAATTCTGGACACAGGAATTGCGCGTCTGGTTTCTTTGATTCATATCACTCGTAAAGAGAGGTCTCAAAATTTATTGTGCGCGTTACAAATGAATCATCTCTATCAGAAAAAAACAGGGGGTTCAAAAATTGAGGTGGAAAAACTGGTGCTCGACGATATTTTAATTTGAAAGTGGTAATGGAAATGGAAATGCGGCTAATGGGCAACTTTTTAACCGCCCTATTAGTGCCTTCGTGCACACGTGGCATCAACTGCAAACATCATTTACATCAAACTCACGTTAACCTGTTAATTGAATCCTGGAAAATGGATATTTTTTTCCCACTTCTTATTGGGCTTCATAACTTGTGACTATCAAAGGATATCGGATAGTTTCCCATTTATGATTGGGCTCCGTTGCTTGAAAATGTCTGATGGTCTTTGGAAATGGATTCATTCACCATATTTGATGGGCTTCAAGATACTATCGAAGTTTCTAGAATTGCATTGTGCCGTCACGAGCCTCATGCTAAACTCTTTTGACCAGGCTAAACAGTGTTATACCTTTAAATAATTTTTTTTAATAATGCTTATAAAAGTCTTATAAATATACATTTTACTTTGTAACATACACACTATAATACTATAAGATATTGTTTTAAGTTTCACGTAGGATATATTTTTAATTAAAAAAAATCTTAAACATATATTTTTGCACTTGTCATGTTCTCCTAATTATCAAGATATGTTTTTAAAGTTTTTATTTCAATTAAAAAGATATCTTAGGTGAAATTTAGGGCAAACATAGGACAAATCAAAATGACTTATAATAAACACGGGAGGGAGTACTTTAAACAACTTTTGCTTGAAGACCTATGGAACCCGAACTCGTTGTTTTAGACGCTACGACATTCAAAAGTTGAGAAGTTGGCAATGAACAGTCATATCCCTAATTCAACTCATTCTTCATTCGGCTATGAATGTTTATAGTTATGTTTAATCTTATTTTAAAATGTTATCTTATTATCCTAGCAAAAAAAAAAAAAAGAAACGTCCTTTTACATTAGACAATATTTATATTGCTGCATTAATTTTTTCGGTTATGTTTGACTCTTAACTGTTTAAATTGTGCATTTTTTAATAGTCAAATTGTTCTTTTAATTGTAAAAAGATCGATGAATTCCAATCTCATCTTATAAGCATTTTCAACAAGTTCAAATATTCATATTAAAATATTTTATGGTTCCAATCCTATATCTGTTACGACGCGTGGGTCATATTTTCCAAAAAAATATATAAGCAAAATTATATTTTTCAAAAAAAAAAACACAGGTTTTGAAAGAAAATCGAAAGTAATAGAGGGAAGACCGGAAGAGGAAATTATGTGCGTTCGGGGGTGCGGGGAAGTAAAACTTCAAAAAATAGGGAAATATGTGAAATTATCAGGAAGTTTGAGGGTAGCGTACATAATAAGCTATTTTTAATAGGAAACCCTAGCTGGTAACGCTATAAATATAAATGGACCCCCTCATCCTCATTCATCATCGCTCTCATATTTTCCTAGAGGAAGCACACCGGAAGATTTGCCGCCGCTTCCATTTAGTCTGATTCCCCTATTATTTGAGATGAATTATTTTACTTTTCGTTTAATTTTTCTACTATCTTTCTCCGATTGGAAATGTATTCCGTAACGGAATCCCCCACGTTTTCTGATCGGTGAAAACCTTAGGTTTTAGTAGCGCCGCCGCGCTTGATTAGGACCGCTTCCTCTATGTTCTATAGTTAGTTTCGGTTTATTTCTTTCCTTGTTTCTTATTTGATGTGATTTGAATGTTTTCCCCCTCTGAATTGATCGCTGTGACGACTCACAAATTTTCAAGCTCAACAGACCGGAATGCGGGTTTTTCCTTTAACATGGATCTTCTCGCGTGTCGATAACCCCGCTGAACTGAGCGATCTTTTTTTTTTTTTTTTATTTTTGCGTTTTTTAATTTCCAATTGTTTGTGATTGGCTAGAAAAGTTTTGTTTTGGGAAAAGTAAGGGAAAGGTTGCCATGAGGATATCAAAGCTCCCTCTTCTGATGTTAAAGTTGAGGACACTGCTGGCAGAATCGAACCTAAACTAAACTTGCCATAGCTGAGTAATCTTTTCCCCAAAACCTTACTTTTCTCTCCACAATTTATCTACTTGATTAATTTGATTTGCCCTTTTGAAATACGTATCTGTTTGTTTTCGGTACTGTTTTTGTTTTGTTTTCTGATGTTCATTTTGGATAAGGATGAGGCTACATCTCATATTCCAACACTTGGACTGAGAAAATTTCAAGTGATGCACTAAAGATTATGCATCTGAATCACACTCTTTTAATTTTTAATTTTGATATATTATTCAGTGCTTTCCATATATTTCTATGAACATTTTTTGTGAAATTGAGTTGAAGGTCATCAAGTGATGAAAGAACAATTAATCTTAGGACACCATTGGACACAGCCCTTGCTGGTTGTGGATGAGAATGACTTTTCTCTGATGATGATCTTTTGCTTTTTATATCTTCTATATTGAATCATTGTGTTGTCAGATCTTAAGGTTTGTCCGGTTGAGATTTGACATAAAACTCTGGTCTTATAAGAGATAAGTGAAGATTTTGAACATGGTGTTGGCTGTTGAAACTGTGGGATCATAACTAAGTGTGATGGATACATATATATAAAAAACGAATCGATTAGAATCGGGGACGGAATGGAAACATAGACATAATGTAACTATATGTAAGTGGTGCCACTAATCTGGTAAGTGAGGAAATATATCAGAACAAACAAGTCAAGTCTCAGACAGAGCAAATGGATTCCGGTCTCAGATGAGCAAAGGGTTTCCTTGTACTTGAAGCCAAATAGCCCAAAATTTTGTACTTTGGACAAACCATAAGCAAAACTTCACAAGATATAGCTTTGTTCCCATTTCAAATCAGGGGATTGAAGTTCCACAATGAACCACAACCACACCAAGCATTTCTCTTTGCGGGGGATTGAAATCAAAGTCCGCAATGAGCCAACCCAGCATTCTTCTCTCTGGAGAGTTACAGAAATGTTGCTGGTTTTCCAAGCTAAACTAGAACTGTTTCCACATCAGAACTGAACACTAGAATTACTAAATTCGGATTGTTAGGCAAAACTCCAGTGGCTATGTGCCTATCAGCCTATGTGTGTGTTTCTGGAATCACACAGTGAAAAGCCAATTTGTACAACTGGAAAATATTGAGAGCCTTTAAGAAAACTTAGAAAAGTATTGTGCCTATCAGCCTAGGTGCAAGTCACAATGGACTGATGGAGTCACAGATTCTCTGAGTGATTTTGTATATATGAACTGAACTCGGTCGAATTTCTTGGTACGCTAAGTTTCATAGGATGAAGCTTATTTCTTTCCCTCAGGAGACAGGAATCCATTCAGCAGAAAGGGAATGTTACCACATTCATACTTGGACATTAGGTCAACACTGAAGTGCCAAATTCTGGTTGATTTCTTTCATTCTTTAGCATTTCGCTACGGTTTTGAAATTTTTTCGGTCACAGAATCTGTGAACCTTTAACAATTCAATAGACTGGACTGCTGTTTCTCCAAGAACGCTGGAGTTTCTTTAACATTGTGTCGGTAACTACTTAACTCCTCAGGACTGAGTGATCACTTCCTTTATGAAGTGAAGGGGAATGATGCAATGGGGTGATTTCAACGCTCCCTCTTATGATCTTGAAGTTGATGGTGCTGTTAGCAGAATCTGAACTGATACTAAATTTTGCCATCCCTGAGTAATCTTTTTCCTCCAAATATTTTTTTTTGCTTGCTTATTTTCATTTTCTTGAACTATATGTTGGAGTTTGAACTGTTTATATTTTGTTATCTGATGTTCCTTTGGACTATGAACTATGAAGGAAACGTTGTTGCTGGAGGCAAGTTTCATATAAATACCCTCAAAACTCAAAGGATTTGGCCATCCGTGAAAGAATAAAAGAACAATAAAAAACGCAGGAATCTGCAGTAATCAACCTGGGGGAAAAGGACTCTAAAACTCAAAAGGCTAAAGCTGACAATTCAATAACATTAGTCCATGATCTATAATATATAAGTCATCATATATTCACGTGGATAGAAGTTGTGACCGGATTCAATTCCACAAAAATGCAGCTAAAAACATGAATTTTCCAGAATTCCCCCCTCCGGGAGGTCCCAAGCTCAACAAGCTGGACCGTCAAAATCGAAACTGGATAGTTATTCTTAAAGGGTAAAATTTTATGTCATTGTCTGCCGCTATCCATTTGTCACATAGGAAATGTTATCCTACTTTATCCTTTCGCTTGGGGATTAGGCACCAACATTAACATTTTGGATGATTGCTATTGGGAATAGCCCATTAAAAATATGCCGACCACTCAAAAATAAAAAAAGAGCCCATTTCAGTTATTTGTCCTTTTCTCAGCTTGAGCAGAAGAAATTATGCGAAAGTAGGAAACAAACAGTTAGAATGAAAATGGTAAACAAAAAGAACAGGTAACCAACGTCCTCGCGCCACGTAGCATATAAAAATCAATTTTCCCACCTAGATATGAACTCATACTCTTCCCCACTTGAGCTTTCTGAAAATCATCAACTATTCATTATTCAACAGCACTCCCTTTGTCTCCACTCTCCACAGAATTGTGCGACGGCAGACTCTGTGAATCGTAGTTCACCGCCGGCTACAGAGCGATGCTTTGTACGGGGAGGATCTTGGCGGCATCTCATTCCAGGACGCTGTTTCTTCCGCAGTGTTCGTCCTGCAATAGCTCCCGGAGTTACAGTCTAGGAAAACCTAAATCGAACACTAGATGGCGGTGTTCGGCTGCGGAGGCGGATTCTTCTTCGTTCGCAACTTCAATCGATGCGGATTCCTCGGCCGATAAGAGCGCCGCAGGGTGAGTATTTGCCGTTTTTTTTTTTTCAAAAAAGAATTAGGCGCCGTTGAAACTTGTCGAGTAATTTTCGAAGTGTGTGGTTGCAGATTTTGTATAATTGAAGGTCCGGAAACGGTTCAGGACTTCGCTAAAATGGAACTACAAGAGATTCGTGATAATATCCGGAGTCGTCGCAACAAGATCTTCTTGCAGATGGAAGAGGTCAGTTAAAATATCGTGGAAGTTATCTTTCCTGGTTGAGTTTGATTGATGATTGATAGAGTTACTTTTTTGCTGATGTTCGGTTTTACGGTTGAATTGCTTGAGCATCAACAATGAGTGCTAGGCTGCTTGTGAGCTACTTTTAGACTTTAGTCTTGTTCTCCGTGGATAATTCATCTGCATAAGTTGATAAGTCAGTTGAATGGTGCTGAGTGGTTGGACTTACGATTTGTATATGAGAACTGAGTGGTTGAACTTTCAGATCTCTGTAGCTTTGCGATTTGTTTTCACCAATGTGTCTGTCTGGGAGTTTCAAATCCGTGTTTTCAACAGTTTTTTTTTTTTTTTTCTCTCTTCTTCTGTTTTTGATTTATTCATCTTACAGAGTTGCTGTTCCTTTTACTCTGTTATGGTTTCATCGTGTTTATACTTTTACCTTCAAAGTTCTGTAGGTTCGCCGGCTAAGGATACAGCAAAGACTTAAATGTGCAGAGCTGGGAATTTTAAAGGAAGAGCAAGAAGCTGAACTTCCTAATTTCCCATCATTCATTCCATTTTTACCTCCTCTGGTAAGGTGTCTTTGGTTAACACGCTGATCTTCTTGCAGTTAGTTGCAGGATTCAATATTTTGTTCACACATCGCACTGTAGTTTAATTCTTTTCTTTTGTTCTCAGCTCCAACTCCTCTCAACACCCCCAATCCTTTCATAATTGGGAGGGTAATGTTATATAAGCTATTTGGTGAATTCTTTTAGAGTTGACTGGTAGTTCTCTGTCCGCAATACATGCAGAATTCTGCTAATCTAAGGGTGTATTATGCTACTTGTTTCTCTCTCATTGCTGGAGTCATGCTTTTTGGTGGACTACTTGCTCCAACGGTAAGTAATCCTGTGTCGTTTTTGTACTTTGAACAGTTGAGCAAATACTCGGGAACTGTTGTTATGATCATTTATCAAATTCCTTCCAAAGCATATCTGTAAGAGTCACTTCAAGCATGAAACTGAGATGCAGTTTCCTTTAGTTCCGGATTTTTGGCCCACGAATTTTATCGTGTGAACAATGTGTTTATGACTGTTCTCTCAAATTGAAATAATGCTCAAGTTTGAACATATAATTCCTGTCTTGCGTGAGACTTGAACGAATTAAAGGATTATTTTAATCTGACCGAAGCTTAACACTAATAGCCTCCTAATTTTATTCAGTTGGAGCTGAAATTGGGAATAGGAGGAACATCGTATGCAGATTTCATTCGTAGTGTTCATCTACCTATGCAATTGAGGTGAGCTCCAATGTAATTGCACTCTTTTATATTATGGAAATGGTTGCTTTTAGCTTTACATCCAGTAGGATACACCTGCTTCACGTGTCTGAAAACTCTGCTCTCTCTTCCATTTTTTATCATTTTATTGACTTGTACATTCTTTCAAGCTATCTCCAGTCTCGTGACTATATATATGTTTTTTTAATAAATTCAGTCAGGTGGATCCCATTGTTGCTTCATTTTCGGGAGGAGCAGTTGGAGTAATTTCAGCCTTGATGGTTGTTGAAATAAACAATGTTAAACAACAAGAGCATAAGAGGTGCAAGTACTGCCTTGGAACAGGTGTCTAACTTGATTATATTTTTGACATGGTTACCATATTTTTGGTTGACTTTATACTTTCAAATGTTCATTTCTTCCCCCTGAATATTCTTATTTTACTTTTGGTCTCTGACTTTGAATGGTTTGGTTTATCAAAATGGCTTTTTCCAAGTAGGAAGACCCCCTACTTTTTCCTTTGATCAATTGGTTGGTAGTATTGGCTTATGACGATTTTTCTACCTGTCTGCTTTTATGAGCAATGATACAGATAGTGAGAAAAAATAGTGTAAATACATAGTGACTGATGTGTCAATAGTAATTAAGGGTAAAAGGGTAATTTTTGGGGGAAAGAAAAAATTTCAACGGCAAAGTGGCAACAAAATAGGGGGTACACATGAGTCACTATATTTTCTCACTATATTATTTCACTAAGAGTATCATTTTCCTGCTTTTATTTTCTGTTTCATAGACCAGTGTTACTAAGATGAGAAGTGAATTTATTTGTTCACCTGAAACACGCTTTATGCAGGATATCTTGCTTGTGCTCGCTGCTCAAATACTGGTTCTCTTGTCCTTATTGAACCTGTTTCTACCCATAATATTGGGGATCTGCCAGTGTCTCCCCCTAAAACTGAAAGATGCCCCAACTGTTCTGGATCGGGAAAGGTTCGTCTTTGACCTATTTATTTCTCTTCTCCATATTGTTTTTATAGATACTACTGACATGTCGAAGTCAAGAAGAAGTTCAGCCCCGTACAGATAAGAGAGCAGAAACTAGCCTGGAATTATATTCTTCCTCGTGTCCTGTGATCAGTATGATCAGTATTAATCTTGAATGTTAGTACTTAAATTGGAATGATTTAGACCTTTTATCTTTCTTGAAATGGATGAATCTTCCATCTTAGGAAACTTAATGCTAAATGATATGGTTCTAGTCAGAAAAGTGCCTTTCTGCATCATTTTTCTGGAATTCCGTTTCACTGGCATGAATCTGACAACTTTCAACTCTTTTCTTATTCCAAAAAGGAGAGTTACTTTTAAGCATTTTAATATAGTCTTTGCAGTCCACATTTTTTTTTGAAAAAATGGAGGATTTGGAGGGATTATTTTATCTGTTGGATCATCTATTTGTGGACTTTTTTTTTTTTTTTTTTTTTTGAGGATGGGGGGTTTATATGTTTCCTTGTGATGGAAAAGATGAAGTATTTAAAGAATACAGACTATGTAGAAAAGGTTGAAAGTTTTCCTCCCATCCCAGTAGAAGAATTTAAGAACCTTCTGAAGCTTTTCTCAGGCTTGTAAATGAGACTTGAGATTGTTACCTCCTTAACCTTACCTCTATACTTCTTGTAGTTTAATGAACCGGGTTTGCATGTGTCTAACTGCAAAAGAATTTTGTCTAAGAGGATTATATTGAAATTGTATTTTGTTGGCGTCCTTTACATTTTGGCTGGAGATTTTGTTGAGTGTCATATTACGGGGTATTATTCATAGTTAAATGTGCCGATGACTCTTGGAAGAGAAACCTGGTAAGGCTTTAACTTTGGATTTTGTAATGCAGGTCATGTGCCCCACATGTCTTTGTACTGGAATGGCTATGGCAAGTGAACATGATCCAAGAATTGACCCTTTTGACTAATGTCCCTTCCTGCAGTTTAAAGGTTAGCATCACCCATGATTTTTGTTCACGATTATGTTCAGAACTGTACATCAGAAGGTCTTGCTCTTCTCTCTGGTTGCCAAAATTTTGCTTTATCTTCCCTCATAATGAACGTTGATAGGGGAACTCAAAATAATGGGCTACTTGCATCTTTGGTGAAGCTTTAGCCTCTTTGTTAAAATCATAGAAAGTTAGAAACATTATCTTAACATGGTGGTATTGCAGATTTGAAATTACCCATCAAACTAACAAACAGAGAATGACCTAGAAGGCACATATATAAAACAATAATTAGATCGAGAATCAAAGAGGCAAATGAAAGAATGGAATGATAGCAGAATGAGAGCATACACCCAATACTTCCCCGATATGTTTAGTCCCTCTGTTGAAAAGGACTAAAACCATAAATAGCACTATAATTTGGGGACAGAAGGAAGTATGACTTGTGATACTGTGATTTTTATAATCAACTAGAAATCAAGAGTGTGATAACTTAATCACCTAGAAATCTTTGGTGCAGATCAAAATTTGAATAATCCAGTGTGTAGTCTCAAATCCACTCTCAAAATTAGCTACCCTGTGTAATCTATATGCTTGGTATAGAACCTAACTGCTAGTTTTCATGCTTCTACCTTATAGAAGCAGTTGCCCCTTCTTCTAATAACTTGTTACAAAACTTCTATCTCATTTTCACAGTTCTGGAATTTTTAAACATCATAGTCCTGGTGGTCATATGGATGCGGAAAGGACATTAGAATCCATTTTAACACATTCCGGATGTCAACATTGTTGCTACAGTGATTTGTATTGCTCTATCAAATGAGAGGCGTGAAGTCGAGATGAAGGGATTACAGTGCATCCTAAATTCTGTAAATAGGCAACCTGCATGCAGCGAGGATTATTGCAAAATCAGTTCTAAGTAAAATGGACTGCAAAATTTAAGCAACTTATTTACAGTCTGTTGCTTTTATACCTTGTTAAAAATATCAAACAAGCATTACTCGATGAGAGACAAGGAAAAACTTGAATGTACGAAATAATACTAACCTGTTTTGCAGTTGGTGCCGAAGAACCCATTGCATTCTCAATCCGTTGTTTCTGAAAGTGTTCCTGAATGAAAAAGGGGAACAAAGACATTGGAACGAGATCATGTGCCACAAAAAATAGAACACTACATGAAAATCCACTGAAATGCAAAGATATGGAATATTTGAATATGACATCATCACCGCTGATATCCATAATGTAACAAATACAAAGGTTATGAAGAAACAGGATATAAATTACTTTTCTCAATTTCAAGCATGACAAGCTGCCGTTGGGTGCAAGTTCATTACATCCCAATCAAGGGCAGATATATAACATACTGGGAACTTTTAGAAGCCGATTACCATAATTGTCAATATGCAATAGCCGAAGGCAGTAGATTACCAGCTTCTTCCATATCGGAGAATGTAAAAACATTATCCTTATTACTTGTCAGTTTCACTTTTTATTTCCTTCAAACCCCAGGAGGTATTGAATTGAAAATTAACAAATTGTGATGTCCCAAATTCCAACCATCTCTTATGAGATGAAGATACACTCCATAGTCTAGAGAACATTCATAAAGAAAAAAAAAAAAACCAGTGATACCTGTTTTTCTCTAGTTAAGTGAGCACGTTTATCAGCAGGAATCTGCTCCCATTTTAGAACCTGGTTGCAAAAAGAATATTTGTCATCAGTACTCCCAGTAGCATTGTTCTCTTTCCCTTATTTACAAAGCAACGTCACTGAGGACTTACAGATACTGCGTACTGAAGGGCTTCATCACTCTGTAAGCTCAACTTCAGGGTTCGCAAAACATCCTACAAGTAAACCAAAAGTGTCTCCTCTAAGCTTTAATAGTCTGACGATGTGTTACCAGAGTCAAATATGTGCACATCTTATGTAAAGATGATCAAAACTATATGGATTTATCCTACAGTTATGCGTTAAAAGATCTTTTCCCCCTCATATTGGTAACACCTGAAACTGCTTCGTGTTGAAGCATAACTAGATCTATTTTCAATTTCCACACCAGTGCTCTACAAAATGCAGAATAGAATGACATGTGCAGAGGGGCTTCACCAATAACACAAGATCATGAGATTCAAAACAACAATAGTCATAACATTGTTACTAGAATTTCCTTTTCTTGGTAATGGATAGAAAGGAACGGGCCGAGCAAATGTAAACAGCCTTAAGGTAACATTGGTCCAGGGGGGAAAACAAAATACAAGTCATAGCTGGAAACAGTGCAACAGATCAACAGTCAGTGAAGAAAAAAGAAGCAATGTGTCCATCGAGAAAAGAAGTGTTATGCACAGACATGAAGAAAAAATCGCAGGGTAAAATGATTATACCTTGCGGTTGCTCTTCTTGGCTCTCAGACGTTCATCAATGATAAAGGAAACCTGTACCAAAAAGATATTGATGTAACTCGTGGCCTCTGGACAATGTACGATAAGAACCAATATTCACAGTGAAATGTTTTAAGGTGATTTGTAGCTGGATTTAGGACTGACAACATGCTGAAAAAGATGGGCTGGTACGGATAATGTTTCAATTGTGTTTTTTGTTTTGGGTTCTAATTTAAAAGTATTAAAAATTGCATTGGAAATGTTAAATGGATTATGAAAAAGTTGAATGCTGGCCATAGCCTAGGCTGTTAATGATAGAGAAAACGAGGCCGAACAAGAAAGAGATTCATTTGTCATTCTTTTTTCAAATGAACTGTAATGCAATCATGGACAAATATTTCACTAGGAAGGTATACTTCACAGGCACAATTTCAACTGCAATAAAAGGAAAAAAGAGAATTTCACCTATAAAACTAGGAAACTACATTGTTAAATGAGAGATAGAAGGGCAGTCATGACGGAGATTATCCGTCTCCTGAGCACTTGAGGTGGCTGCAAGTTCGTGAAAATGAAGGCATTATTTTCTTATGCTTCTCTTTCTTGGTTCAAATACTTTGTTATATACCTCACGTGGTTAACCTACACACTGTTTCTTTTGGTACAATAAAGGAGGCAAAGCCTAAAACTACGGGGTTGAACATACCCCATGACATCATGCACTAGCCAAGTAGCCATGATCAATCTACATTTACTGCTACTCTGAACACGTCTCTACACCAATAAATTATAAAAAAATAAATAAAAAAGAGACAAGAATACCTTGTTCAGTAACCTCTTTGGATCTTGAAATGCAGGCTTTTTAGCCCACTGATGGAATAACTGGGATACAGTACCTCGGTCCTCCACGTTGAACCTGAAATCATATTTAAGAAGAATCAGCAAAAAAATAAGCACTTAACACGATTGATTATCAATTGCAGTCTTACACATATATAATCCATTGAGTATATGTCAATGAGACCTTCTCAAAAACCCATTACTATTACAAGCCCCCATGAGTTCACTTAATTCTTTGGACACTTCACAGAGATGGTTATCACCAGGAATCATCTTGGCTTCAGCTGATTCTGTGGTGGCTGGCCCATCAGAAATTGGGAGTTTTCCTCGAGGAAATTGCTGGTTATCTCCTGGTACATTTTGACTCAACTCGTTCTACAAACACAAAAGTTAAAGAAAAGAAAATGAAGAACCGAGAAATCACAGACTGATGAAAAGAGCAAAAGCTTTAATGAAAAGGGTGACTATGCTCCAGAACTCCTGTAAATCCGACCAAAAGCAAAGTAAAATCAGTATTTGAATGAGACAAGTATTAAGTTCTGTCTTTAGCAGCAGTCACTTCTGTAAATCCTCAAACTTCTACTAATTGACATTCCTTATAGAAGGTTCTCCTAGGTACCTACTTGTCATTTTCCAGTGCTTTGGAACTACAACTTTGGCGGTGTAATACATGCATGAAAAGTAAAAGCAGGAAATGACATAAACTCTAGTGCAGGGGCCATTAGATAATTGCTCAGAGCATGAACCTCAAAATATATGAGTAGTTCTTATCATATATGAGCTTCCTCAATACAACAAGAACTAGTCTGTATACCCCAGTGGCGTCTTTTCAGGGATTATATACGAAGATTAAAAGATTTGATGGGTCATGTCATTTCTATAGTTTCTTCCCAAGTCTGAGGGTCTTCTCCTCCCACTTTTAGTTTGAATAGATAATCTACAGTTTCTACCCGGGCATCGATAGGTCTCGTAGCCCTTGTCTGAACCATCTTAAGCATGATTATCTCATGTAGAGCTGGGTGTTGGCTCAAAGAGATATAGTAATTTAATTTGGCAAAGGAAGGAAAATGAAAAGAAAGCTCAAGTATGTAGCTAGTAGATTATTCACTTTTATCTGCAATTAAACAGCTAACGGAGGTAAATTCTTCCGAGTACCTTTTCTTTTCCTTTTCTTTGCTGGCAGAGGAAAATCAATCATCTTTTTCACGTTATGATAAGAAATTAGGAACTTTAAGAACCTTTGCCGCATAATTCCATAGAGATTCACAAATAAAAGTCGAGCAAAAGGAAAATAGTCACCAAAGTTGACTTTCTGGAGTATCTACCCTGCCAACTATATATTTGACATTGCTCGATGGGGAAAAACAGATATCAGTGATCAATTTTACAATGTCAAATAACGGAATCACTGGAACTTCACAAAAATAAATCAACAGCGAAATTTCAGTTCAAGCTTACATGGTTCTCTAGGAGATGACGAGGTATTTCTCTGATAAATCGAGAAGGTTGAAGAACCTGAAAACAAGCATGGAAAAGTTGATAACCCAGAACATTGATTAATGGCCGAGAAATTCAAGATAAACCTGACCTGCCAACTTGAATCCAGAAGCATGTATAGGATGAAAAGCTTTTTCCGAGCTCTTGTCATTGCCACGTATAGAAGTCGTCTTTCCTCCTACATAATAGAAAATGAAAAGGACCCGTAACTTCTGAAGAAAGTAACACTCGACAACCATTGATAAAATTTCTTTTTGACAGCCACTTGCCTCAATTGATGAACCATTTTCAGTTCCCACACCACTCATATCATGCAACAAAGGGATCTCTGACTCATTAACCTGTCCATTTATATACAAATTAATGTGAAAATAATCAAATTCCGCATACTAAAATACATTCCATGCACAAAACCTTCAGTTTCCTTCTAAATTATCACTATATGTATTGCATCTGATTATTTCAACAAAATGCATATCCTCCCTCTTAACTCTGAAACAATTCTGTCTCATCATTTGTGATAAAGGCTCAAGGCAGTTTCAACTCCTGAAGGAACCTTAGTGCAATCTGGTGGCTACAGTTCTTTTCAAAAGACACCAAACTTTAAATATGGGGTCATTTGAATTGAAAGCCAAGGTTTGTACTTTACCTTTACAATGAAGACAACATCCCATTCCAAGCCTTTTGACTGCAAGGAAGAGAATTCCACATAAAAAGTACATAAGAATATCACATATAAACTGCAAAATGTCATGGCAACACTGATAAAAGCAGAAAGCTCTCTAAGTGGGAAAACCTGATGAATAGTTGTCAGGGTAACAGAGTTCTCATTATCATGTCGTCTGGAACGGAAATTCTCTTTCTCCCTTTCGGATATGTAATCAATGAAAGCTTTAAGCAAGCTAAGACAACCAAGCCCTTCAGTTTTGTCATCACTTTTTTCTTGTGTAGGAGAGGTTTGACTAGTTAAGAAATCAGAGACGTCATCTAAGAGATAATGGAGTACCTGCAAGTTTGCAGTCACTAACTCAAAACAGTTTCCATTGAACTTATACCAGCATATATAGTGAAGACAAGCCCAGAGTTCATATGCTGCCAGGATCAAGTTACCCAATAAGTTTGATGATAAGTATGAAAATGGAAAAACGTACTTACCGATCTAACATCATTGTCTTCATTAAGCAATTTGCCCCCATCAACATCAACAACTGCCCTCTGTTCAAGAAGGTATTTCTGGAGAGAAAAAATACCCATATTATTCAGTAATAAGAAAGTTTCAGAAGTAACAAGGCTTTGCAGTAAAAATACTGTTAAAAGAACTGTAATTCAACTCCAAAAAAAATGCCATGTAATCACAAAAGCCTCATGACCAACTTAAGTAAAAGCCTTTCACAGAAGAAAATGTATCTGAACCCAAGGCAAGTCTAAGAAAGTTTTTACTTTTTAGCAGCTCCAAACTGGAAAAGAACTCATGCATAGTAGGTCGTTCCCAAGAGGAAACCTTGGCTGTTGTTCTTATCCACTTACCAATAGAAGTGATAGAGTGATAGTAAAGACTGGTGAAATGAAATGCATAAATGAGTACGGCCACAAATGAAAGCTGATTTGGACCCATAGTTCCAACCGCATTGACAAGCAAAAGGCAAGGTTATGACAAGGCAAACCTGTGGTATCATGTTTGCCACTGATGTGATAACAGCTGAAATTGACTGTTCCTGCATTCATCATCCCAGTCAAATTAATTATATTTATGGAAACATATTTCTGTACCCATTATCATAAAGTCCACAAGCAGATACAGGCATTCAGCTGCCCCTTATAAATTTTGCAGCAAAAGAAAAATCTTGAATTCTCGATATAACACAAATTGCCTTCTACGGGTTACCAAAAAATGATATATTTGTTTGCATTTCTGCTCTCACATCTTGACTTACTCTATGGACAAGTTTCGATATCATGTCTAGAGTGGACAAGACCTTTCGCCCCTGGGTAAGCTGACTCCTATAAGCAATAATAGGCTAATTTAGTGACTTTAAAGCTGACAAGAGACATGGCACTATTTAGTTGGAAGGTTGAAGATCAGAAGGCAAAAGAAAGTGTAAAGTCAAAAATCAACAATCAGCGCCAACTATCTAGGCAGAAAACATGAATGCAGAGATACAAAATAATAAAACTTAACTAGAAAAAGTTTCATTACTTTTAGGCATTTTAATGTATTCTTGAAATATCCACAATTTTACAAGGTAATTGAACTATCTAAGGATGAAACTTCCCTTCATTAGGTATCAGAATGCACAAAACAACTATAACTAATCAAATTATACAACACTGACTTATAAACCAGAACCAGAAGGACAAATTTCTGATAGACTCCAGAGTACATAAATGACATATAAATGATTTTCAAAAATAGAGAGCAAATAATGATTGAAAAAAAGAGAAAAAGATGCATTGCCGACAATTACATTAATACCACCATGAGCATTGTAAGAGGCTGCAGATGAAGTTAATAGTATCTCCCTACAATCTTTAGGATATAGAACTATAAGTTTGGAACTTCAAAAGAGAAAAAGGACCAATTGTTTACAAATTTGTCCATGTCCCTATTCCTGCCTCCCCACATTGTGAAAGACTCATGTCAGTACTCCCCAAAATTAAACAAGGGGTACTACATATGACAAAAGCATCAGTCATGACTTTTAACTATCAAGTCCAAACAACTGGCTGATAAACGTAAGTTATTCTGACACAAAATCACAGCTTCTAAAGCTACTGCTGAAGGGAAAGAAACAAACGAACCTTTTCAATGAACCAGATACCTTTGCACTAAATATGTCAGTTGCAGCAGATATAAAGCTACATTTTCTCACTGTCAAAACCTTCTCTATATGTTCAATCACCTGAAAGGGCAAGCAGAGAGAATAAAGTCAAAGAACCAGAATAACCAGACAAAGTTAGCGCACCAGGCGAACACCAGCAATGGACAACTGGACATACCTTCTTCTTTTCCTCTTTATCAAAAGGTAACAAAGCTTTAAATACTTTACGATAAGGGTCATCACCACAAGCAGGCAACACTGTCCTAAGCATAGCCACTACAGCTCGAACAACCTGTTTAAATATTCACAGATTTTCAAAAGAAAATGTAGGACCTAGTAGCCTATAACACGAGGCGAAACTAAGTAACGGGAAAAAGAATATGTAGTGCAAGAAGTCACATCCTGAGTAGATCACCACTAAATAGATAGAGAATGATCTATCAATAAGATATAAACTATAATGGTCAATATAAGAATGAAAAGAAGCAGTTCCTAGAGACATGATTTATTTTTATGACACCTCCGTTACATTTTTACCAAAGTGCCTTGCTACTCAACCAGTTATTAAGCTCGATCAAAATAAAATGACTTGTTTTTTAATATACTTTACCGCTCAAGACATTTTCACGCAGCAAGACACTCATGGAGTAAAGAGGAGACAAGTTTCCCTCCAACAGGGAATTGAAAAGAGAATCAGAAGCAAGTAGCAACTTGAGTCGTTAGAGTTTGATGGTGTGAAGTGTTATACATCACTGTCACTGGCGATGAACGGTAAACATAATGGAACATGCCACAAAAAGATCTGCAGCTACCAACCTTTTTCCGATAGAAGGCTACACCATGAGTGTTGAATGGAATTTTTCTACTGCGAAAGCTTGTTTGAAATATTTTCCCAGTCACCTGCCAAGAATTTGTAGAAGTTCCGTGATCTCCATCTAGGGCTTTTTCCTTTCAAGCAGAAAGTAATAAATTGAAAGAAGAGAAAATCCTCACCTGCCTCCTGTAAAGCACTGCAATACTGCCAAAGTTGTACTTGGTAGATGAACCTTCTGATGTGATTTCTAAAATTTTATCGACAACATATGCACATTGAGCATTCTCATTGCTGCATTCTTTGATAGTTATCTAGAAAAAATGTCCATAAGAAGCAAAATTGGTCACTAGTAACAAAAGAAAATACAATTTTTTCCCTAAAACACGTTACCTTAGACCCAGTGGAATTATCCGTAAGAACATCTTTTGACTGGCATCGTTTTACATTATTTTGAATGAGCGACGATGCAGCTTCAACAATACAACGAGTGGATCTGTAGTTTTTGTTGAGTTTAATCTGGACAGGAGGATTTATATACATTCAGATAAAAATGCAATCAGGAATATTTCCTAACTGAGTCTGTATCAACTGACTTCAGAAATTACAACCGGAAAGCACTGAATGGTAGTGGAAAGTTTAAGCAAACCTCTTTGTGCATTGGAAAATCTTTCCGGAATGAATCAAATCCAGAAACATCAGCACCATTGAAGCTAAAAATTGACTGCATCATCATAGGAAGATAGATTGAACATTAAAGATCAGAAGGTAACCCCACACAGTTCAAAAAATGTTATAATATCAATTCGGAAGATAGTTGAAGACATATTCACCTGATCCTCGTCGCCCACAATAGTTATACGTTTATGGGATGCAAGCATCCGCAATAAACTGTATTGCATTGGGCTTGTGTCCTGAAATTCATCAATAATGATTGCCTTCCATGACTCCTGGCATTCCTTGAATACTTCAAACAGAATGACACCAGGGAATAAGGAATAAGGAAAAGAATAAGCTACTAACTCCAAAACAACACTAACTAGACACAAACCTGTAGGAAACTCAGCAAGTAACTTCAGCGAACAGTTGATTAAATCGTGGTAGTCCAATGCGTTACACGATTTTAGTATATCATCGTAGCAGTGCAGAATCTCAGCCTAAATCGTTGTCCAATTGGATTTTCAGAAATAGTTAGAAAGAAAATAGGAAAAAGTTCTAAGTTCAACACCAGGTATTATAAGATTGTTGGGTTTTAAGGTTACCCCTATCTCATCGCCCATCCTGTGGCAATCTTCAGGCATCCTGCCAGCAGATTTGGCCTGAAACATAAAAAATGACATTCTTACTGCTACAAATTGGGTGACCCAGGTAATCACATCTAGTAATTTACCCTGATAAAATAAAGCAAACAGAAGGATATTATCTCATATTTTCTAAGACCAAATTAGTTTTGGGATTCCCAATTTCATTCCAATAGCACATCAAAAAACATTCGGATGTGAAAATAATCAATTTCTTGCTGGATATTGAATGGTGCAGGTGTTAACCCAAAAGGAGACCATTTTAAAATTAAATCAAACTGTTGTATTCTACCACCTATGTGGTCAGAAGTATATAATTTTATAACAGAATTAAGAACTGTTCATCTCAATTTAGTTAAAAGAAATACATTCTTTCTATTTGTGATAACCAGACTTCACGTCTACCTATTGTCAGAAACTGCAGAAAATAATGATTTAGCTCAAGCCTGTGAAGGTGTTGCAAACAAAACATGACAGGTACATTGGTACGAATTCTCATTAACCATTTCAAACTAAAGTAAAAACAAGCCCCTACTTACCTTGGCTACGTATTTAAGCCATCTCTTTGATTTATCTTTGAAATGCTGAGGGGAACTCACCCCAGACACTTCAACTTCCATCTCTGACTCTTTATTTAACATTTTCTTCTTGTCCTTCAATATGCGAACAGCCTCAATAACAGCTCGTCTCTGTTGTCCATGCCCGTAGATTAAAAATTCGGCCGTCCTACCCAACCTATTTCACAAGCTAAGGCATAAGAATTTGACTCAGATTGCTAGAATCTAATTTAGTATTAGACAAAGAAAAGGAAATAACCGTAAATAGACATTTATTACAACTCAGGATGTTAAAATTTTCCATTGTCAGTTTAGCACTACAAATTGAAGTACTTCCTTATTGCAGCAAAATTTTCAACATCCAGAATACTAAACTCTGTGACATAATAAATGATACACATCAAACAAGCATTTTCAACACAGTATAACAACAGCACAGATCACATGGCACCAGAAAAACTGGTCAAGATTCTACAGTCCAATGAAAGGTACATAAGGGCAACACATCAAACCCATGGCACAAAAAGAACTGAACTCTATAATAACCTTTAGAAAACTACCTCTGTACATAGAAAACATCAGAACATGAAGACTCGGAGAAATTTATCAACATACAGACATCATATTTTCTTTACATATGTGCATTCTTTTACAAAGCATGCTAACGTCAAATAAGCGAGAAATCAAAAGCTTAATATGTAGTTAATGAAATTATAAATGAACCAACGATCCGGTGTAAAGATGAGAGAAACAGTACAATTAAAATTGTAATTCAGACTCTTCCATATTAGCTCATTTGTTCCAACAAATGGTATTGTAATTTTAAAACCAATCTCCATGACTGAGGCTAGGAGTGAGGGTGGCTTGCATTGAAAAAAGTTTGTTGCATAATTTTCGCTGTCAACTGACATCTGGTCAATACCAACTTATAGATTACTTGGCAGAACTACTTCAGATGAATGAGTAAAGTGGATATTGGTCAATGCAGCAAGATGGCTAGCATTTAACTATTAAAAGGGAAATAGGCCATAGCATCACAAGACAGAATGGCCTAAAGTTCTAAGGGCAGACAACAACAAGATATGCATACTTTTCAGCATGGGACCGACAAAGTTGTAAGGAAAATGAGTGAAATGTGCTAATCGTCAGCTCTTTGGCTGCTGCTTTCCCGGCTACTGCCCCAACTCGCTCTCTCATTTCTGAAGCAGCCGCCGTAGTGAATGTCATAGCCAGAATGTGAGAGGGATCGATGCCCTGCACAGCAAAATTTAAATAAGTCCATAGTCCAGAGGGAAAATTGCCATTTGCAAAGTTCTTCAACAATGCCGGAAAGAACCCAAAAACAATAGTTTCACAAGACAAGAAGTACCTCATGCATCAGCATCAAAACTCGCCCAACCATTGTAGAAGTCTGTAGTTAACAGAAACCTTAAGCCACAGCAAATGAAGACAATACGTTTTATATTAAGGGCTAGTTGAACTACTGACCTTTCCACTTCCTGGTCCAGCAACAATCATTAAAGGGGTTGAAATATCACCACATGCGGCTTCCATTTGCCTGTCATTTAGAGACTTCAGATATTTAGAATACTCTTCAGGCATACTCTTGCAGTGAGTCTCAGAGTTCCTCAAAACATCTTGCGCACTCTCATGGTCGCAACTGGAAATTGATACAGGTGGATTATTTAGCTCCTCTTCTGCAATAAGAAGATTAAGGCTAGTATTGTTCTCCCTGGAATTCTTGTCATCATACTGAATGTCTACTGCAGTACTTTTTGACACCTCTCTTTCTGGTCTTGCAACTGACTTCTCACATAAGGCGTCAATTTCCTCCAGAACAGAATCATCGAAAACATCATCTAAAACACTTGGCAATGATGACGTCTGAATCAAGCCTGACCAACCAAATTGCCTCACTGGAGTAACAAATGAATTGTACACCGGCCCAACTTCCGTGACGACACCATTTCTGACCTTACGTGGATCCTCACCAGTACCAACATAGGTACTATTAATAAGACTATCTGCTTGTTTGATAGGGGTTGAAAAACTTGAAAGAATTCCGACATCAATCTCTGCGGTTGAATTATCATCATCCTTATCTGCAGCCAGAACTTCAGGGCATATTCGAGCAAGAGAATCACGATTTTTCAACTTATTACATCTTTCAAAATCAGATTGTTCCACATTTCTGGTGATATCGGAGAGAGGAAGCCTTCTAATACCAGTAAATTGAGCTTCGGACTCAATTTTGCAATCGCCCCCAGCTCTAGAACAAAGAAATATACATAATTACCATGCCAAAGGAAACGTTAAAGCTAATTAAGCTCTTCAATTAAAAAGAGAACGGTAAACAAAACCTAATTTCAATGAACCTCCATCCTTACAGCCCTAGGTCACTTTTTTCTCAACTGATTCTGACGATTACATGTAACAACAGTAAATATAGCTAGAAGTGAAGATGAAAAACGTACCTGCGAGAACATTGATCGGACGGATTTACAGTTTCTCGAGGTCTCTTGCAAGCGAGAAGCGCCTTAGCAGCTCTAAACTTTTGTGAAATTCGAGCTCTCTGTTCGGCAGATAATCCACCATCGCCGACTGCGACGTTCTCCTTGTTGTTCATCTGTAATGACGCCTCAGCTATAACTTAACCATAAATTACCATTGAATTAAGAGCGGATGAAATTGTGTGTGTGTGTGAGAGAGAGAGAGAGAGAGAGAGAGAGAGAGAGAGAGAGGAATGGAATGAATATAGTTTGTGCAGAATTTCAACGAAATTGGAAAGGGCGGGACTGGGGTTTTCAAAATGTTTTTTTGTTCACTACCCTTTCATACCGACAATACGACGCCGTACAAGTTGGCCAATTTGTGCTCCAGAATGCACGGCACAATTATAACAAATTGGCCATAAAAGACGGTGCACAAAGAGAGAAGAATTAAAACTGGGCTCGCACAAAGGGACCGGAGGAAGGACATGGACGCCTTGAGAGCTTCATACGGCGATTCAGATTCCGATTCCGATTCCGGCTCCGAAAGTTTCACTCAGAAATCACAAGTTACGTCATCAAACCCTAGTCAAAATCCCGCCCGATCATCAACACCACTGCCTCCGCCACCTCTTGCTCTCCTGGAACCTTCCAGTTCTCTAAGTAGTTTTCTCCTTTCTTACACTTTGTTTCCATTTACTTAAGAAGTGGTGGTTCATCACAAATTTTGATCATCTGATTTCCGCTGATACAGTTGACGCCTTGCGGACTGAGCTACCCAACCGAGTTCGGAGCTTTCCTCATGTGGAGGGAAATTATGCTTTGCACGTTTACATTCCCGGTAAAGTTTCCGTCTTGCGCTTTAGTTTCTATCTCATTATGCTGTGTAGTATCCGTTATCTTGATTGAGGAAAGAAAGGGAGCAAGAAAGATAAAATCCCCCATTCCCAATTTCAATCAATTTTTCATGTGCTTTGTCATTTATGCATATGTGCATCAATTCTAGTTTTGGTATACATTTCAAAATTTTTATAGCTACAGTCATGGGTTCGTGAGTTGCTCGCGAACTGAATTATAGGCTGGGTGGAAAACATCATTTTGTTTAGAAAGGATTTGTTAGAGCATTAGTGCTAACTTGAGATTTATTATTGGATGGGGTCTGGTTCTTTTTCCTTCAACTCACTTCATTCGTCCTTCTGCTTTATGGTTTTTGGTAATGAGATATTACTATTATCTGGTACAGTGTTCATTCCGCCTTCATCAAGGAAGGAGCTGATTCAGTTTTGCAAAAAGGTTAATGCTCTTGTGCCCGGTCTTCATATGGTTGACCATGATCTCGCATTTAATACTTTGCTACTTGACGAGAATAAATTTGAGCAACTTGCTCTAGGAAAGGAATTTCATATTAGTCTCGGAAGAACTGTTCCAATACGAGTCCATCAAAGAGACTCAGTGTTGACAATGCTTCGCCAAAAGCTTCATACACAGAAGAGGTAAACCTGCACTTGTATTATTTGCTTTTCACTGAGAATAGTGCTTCATTACTTATCCATTTGCCCTAATGGAATTGGAATAGGTATTGGATTGATTTCAATAAGTGGGAGGTATTTGTTAATGATGATCATACTCGCACTTTCCTCTCAATGGAAGTTACAGCAGGAGGCGTGGCTGAGGTAAGCTGGCAATTTCTTCAAGTGTTTTGATTCAATGGAATTTAGTGAACTTTGAATTTTGTATTCAATGGAGTGTACCTGAACTTGAATAGACTTGGATTTGGCAGTGATCTAATAAATCATAGCTATAACATATAGATGGCTGCAGACTTGACCATAGTTTATCTCTTTCTGCTATGTTCCAACTTTATACTTGGCTCTTGCCTTTTCATTAATGCTTATATCCAATTTCAGCCAGACACTAACATGTCCAGGACTTGTTACACCTTAATACTTTTCAGAAATGCTGTTTCCAGTTGCGTTATTGTTTTCTATTGGTTCACGGAAATTCAAAGTCATTCTTCTGAATAAAATCCACTTGTTATCTACGTTATTCTTAATCACTAGATTCAACTTTCCACTATAAATTTGGGCTTGTATCATATGTGTTTTGAGGGTTAGGTTATCTCTTCGACATGCTTGAATCACTTCATGCTCATCAATAATTCATTTGACTATTCTCATTGCAACAGATAACAAAGCAAATCGAAGCTGTTAATGAGGTCTACAAGCTTCACAATCTGCCAGAATTTTACAAGGTAATTTTTGTATGAGATATGTCACTTCGGTACAGAAAATAATTACTACTTAGTTCACTGTTTCAATTTGTATATGAATGAATTAACTTATGTCACTGTATGGATGCTGCTCACAGGATCCACGCCCGCATATATCTGTAGCGTGGGTGTTGGGTGACATGAGTGAAGTCATGAAGAGAGTATTAGAGGAAGAAACAAAGAGACGCACTAGTCTTGGAGGTACACGTCATAAGCCTCTTTTCGCTTGCAAATTTGGTGGGGTTTTGTGCAGAATAGGTAATCGAGTACATGAAATATGCCGAGTTCGGGAGGTATAATTAACTGTAAGATATAATGGAGGGAAGATATCACGTTGTTAACTGATCGTGGCACCATCAGTCTGTGATTCGTGAATAAATTTGGTGTATCTGGCATATGTATTGATGCATTCGATTGAGAAGTTGGTTTTGGGGGCTTAACGCATGGGCTGGGGTTTGTCAGACGTGTAACATTTTGCTTCCATTCCCAGTGGACAGTTGTGCTTCTTATGATAGAAGTTGCGGAGTTTGAAGCACAGCTACCTTCACACCAGGGGTATGTTCCAATTCTCCTGTATAAATTTAGCTGAGATGTTGGATAATCTTTTCTTTAACTGATGCTAGTATAGATGCGCTAAAAATTCTATTAAAAAAATCTAACCATTAAATTTTGTAACGTCTATAAAAAAGAATTGTTACTTTTAAATATTTGTTGATTTATTGGTTCCATGTAAAATTTATAAAATATTTACTTTTTTGTGATGATTGACGGCGTTGATTGTATGGTGTTCTTAGAAAAACCGATTAGAAAGATGAGGAAAACCAAAATACATTATTTGTATTATTTTCACAATTGTTTCATGGTAATTTAGTGAAATAAGTAATCATTTTAATTTTTGACATTGAAATTTTAAAATGCGTTAAATTATTTATGTAAATTTTAAATATCATCAACAGGTCTAAATATAACACAATAGCAATTAATAATTCTCTTGTCCTAACTTGGGACCAATAAAAAAAGTGAACAAAATTAATAATATAATTAAATAATACTCCCTATATAAAAACTTGGGAGTAATATTTTAGAATATTCCCTATATATTTATTTTCCCAACAATAATATAAATTAATACATATCCTAAACTAAAAAAAATTTATATAAACATTTATTAAAATATGAATTATTGATATTTTTTTTATTCCTTGTAAGTGATATGAACTATTTATAAATTTTACTATCGAGAAGAGTTTAAGTATGTACTTTGATTCAGATTGTATTAGATAAATGAAAATTATGTCATTAGTAATGGTTTTTTTTTCCTTAAGGAAATTTTTTAATTAATAATTTATTAATTGATCAATTATTTAAAATTTTAAATTAATAAATTTTGGCGGTATCAACATTGTTTAACAAATTTTATTGGTTTTTTAATTAAAAAGACAATAAAAATGTTGACTAATTTAAATATAACACATATTACTGCAGTACTATATTTTATGACTCTGCACAAAAGATAAAAATTGACCCACACATTCCAACCAACATTTATAGAAAATTTGTGTTAGCCACTTTAAACAACAAAAATTATAGGCAAATTTTATTTACAAAGAATGATACTTCCGAATATTCTTTTTTACTTCATCTGCTACTAAGAAAAGAATGACGCAAACAATGTTTTTGCAGGGCCACCAAAGCTGAAACTCAATAGTCAAATATCTAATTATGGAGACATGATCAGAAATTTTACTGATCCTTCTTCAGGTTGAATACATCAATGATCATAACTGCCAGCTTATAAAGACATCAAAATATAAATAACTATCCACCTCAGTTATAAATATGTCGCATGAGCAGTGAAAAATAGCTCAGAGACCAGGTATTGACTCGAGATTGTATTTCTCCGCAGCTGAAGCCCCATTATCATTATTCTCTTGGAGTTTTGGTTTACTGATCGCGTCAAGAGTTTGCAAATAAGTATAAGATGCACTTCGATTTGATGAAGGACCCGGATTGCTAATTCTGCTAGCAAGGAAACGACGAATCAAACCCCTAAGGAATGGAGCCATGGTGTCCGGTTCATGTTCCAGGTAGTACATTATTCCACCCATACAAGCACAAAAAAGAGCTACCTGTAAGCAGCAAATTGACAAAGACGTATTACTCCTGAGAATAACTTTTAGTCTTGCTACATTGTTCAAGATAGTATGACAAAAAACCATGACAAAGTTCCTCAAATATTCCCGATTTGATTGAAATCAAAATGAATTTTCCTAGTGTCAAATGAAAGTTTCAGAAATTCGGCAGACAGAGGAACAAATTGGAAATGAACACCAGAGATTATAGATTGGAAATAAACCAAAAACACATGAAACAGAGATCATATGGTCATACCTCAGCATTCTTGATATCAGGCAGCAAACGCCTGTTTACCAAGATATACCACAAAGATTCTCCAGCCCGAGGAAGAACATACAAGGCAAGTTCTCCACGTCTGGCTTTTTTCTCTAACAGAACAGAAAGGCCAGATAACAAGCCTGCAGACCAATACACAAGCTTGTGGTCCTTTGATGCCACTTTTCTGTGCAAACAGATGGCAGCCTATAACAGAACAAGGGAATCAATCGCTGATCATAGATGCTCAAACTGCGAAGCCAAGACGTGGCAAATAAGCTACCTGGAAAACTCCGACAAAAGAAGATAAGAAGATTGTTGAGCGAACAGACCCTGTAACAGCATGCCAGCAGGTGCGAACTGGAGCATCCATGAACTGTAATGAAGTCAAGAGTGAGCAAACATTACTAAACACCACACTTAGTATGCATGAATAATCTACAGGTGCAGACTCTTTTAGCAGTAAGATGGTAAATCGAAGCAGGGGTAAAAGGTTGCATAAATCTGTATTACCACCAAACAGGATACAATTAGTTGATCTATTCAGGTTCCGCACTTGAAATCATACTGTATCCCCATAATGGTACAGAACATAGCAGCCTACTCACTACAGCTTAATTGCCATTTTCTCCACTAGCACACAAACTAATTGTATTATTCAGGTTCCAGAGATGAGTACATGCTACTAATGTAGGGTTTTGAATGCTATAGCATATTCATTACAATTCCGCTGCCATTTTATTCAAAACCTGGACAAGGGTGGTGAAGCACATGCATGAACCTCTAATTAATTGAAAATTTTATAACTTACATGCAACAAAAGAGTAAAAACAATTAAGATCTCAATATCCTAAAACCAAGTACCTTCTGAAGGCGCAAAACGACAAATGGGACAAAAGTCAGAGAGAAATAAAGAGGAAATGTTTTCCTGAAAGTATCTGTTAACACATTTGCATTGTGAACCAAACACGAGCTTGAATCCGGGTGAATTATATCACAGGGAATGATGGAAGGAAATTCATTCAACTTTACAACGCTGGAAGCCCTCCTCCTGGATAAGTACGCAGATAATGAGGTGACATCTACCGGGGAACCTCTACAGCAGTCCCTGACAGCTTTGTACACAGGTGCTGCAACCGGCCCAGTTTTCTGAATGAAATCTTGATATGATTTCGGCAAGCTCTCAGGACGCATCACAAAAGCATACATAACCTGGAAATCCACTTACATATGAATAGGATGGTAGATATAAAAGTGACACATTAGGCATCATCCAATAACTATGATAAATGAATTCGCAACTGGGTTATAAAACCTGTGCACAAGCTAATGCAAAGAGTAAAGAATCTCCATGACTCCAATGGCTCCCCCACAGGTGAAATTTGTTCTTTGCTTTTGCCGAGTTATATGCACACTGAGGTAGAAGGCATACGAATTAGACATAATGGTATAAACTGAGAAAAGAATTCATAAGAGGACAAAAGAAAATGATTGTTAACTGCTAAATTTCTATGGATTACTTTTATAGGGAGGAAAAAATTTCAACTTCTGGTACCCCCTGCCCAAGGCATACCATCCCAAAATGATCCTATTGAGAAGTATGGGGATGAAGAAAGCACCTGAAGCAACAAGCATTAGCGTATTACGCACCTGTGCAAGCCTGGCCAAAAGATACAATGCAAGGGTGCGCCTCCGACTGGAATCATCTAATGCTAAAATAGACAAGCCTGCTACTGAACCTGCTAAGATTCTGCTCCATCACCCCTCTCACTATGTCACATATAAGGAAACTTGTATATTGTGCATCAAATAGTTCTTGAAGTAATTATATTTAAAAATAAAAAATAAACATAAGACATGGGGTAGGGTTTTAAAATTGACACAGGGAAAGGCAGATCAAGTGGCTGAGAAACTTACACATTGATTGGTGTCTCTTTCTTTCTCAATTTCCTCAATAAACACCTAAGAGCATGATAGGAACCAGTAAATCCACCAAATAGCAAACCAACTCGGCATGCTTCCTCTCTTACAATAAGATCTTTCTCGGAGACAAGTTGCTGCATGAAATTCTCAAGCTAGTAAATAACCTGAACTGCAAAAACCACATGCTATAACGAAAATCTAAATTTGCAGCAATAGATTGTAGTAACCTCCCGTTGCTAGATGCACAGCTTCAGTTTCTTAGATCCATATCAACATAGTACCTCATACAATTTCAACAAATCAAGTTCCACAACCTAGTCTCTGGAGAGTCGAGATCCTACTGCCACTTATCAATCAATCCTCATTATGAACAAACAATCAGTGACAACGGAACCAATGTTGAGAACAGCTACAGAGAACTCAAAGAATTGCCTATATAAGCATTTCGAGCCACACTATCACAGTTCATTCATTTCACATCTGTAAGTGCAGTTCCATCACTTTGATTTTACAAAAATACACACTTGACAATCACCATTGAAAACACATTATCCTAATCCAATGACATCTCAATGTTTTTAGTAAAACGGTTAAATTTATAGCTCAAATCAAAATCACAAATCTACAATCACAGCTCAATGTTGATACACAGAGGTATCCACAAACCATTAGGAACTTTGTAGTGCTTAACCTGTTATCCTAATAAGCTATACGGGCACTAACGCCACCACGATTTCATCGCATACACCAAAAGTAGCCAGTCAAGTCTTTGAAACAACAATCCTTCAGTTGCTACCAATAAGAAACCCAGGACTCAAAAGACCGGTAGTCAATTGGACCCTAGTTCTTCAGTTGATACCAATAAGAAACCCATATATCATTACTGGACCTTTCTTAAGTCCTAACTGTAATCAGTAATTACTCCTAAGAATTGTAAGACTGCATCATTTTTGAAAAGTTGAATTGGCAGCGAATTCTAAAGGCTAAAATTCACATGAGTGTCCAAGTATCAGACAAAACAAGCTTCTCCAATAAAGTTCATCCGCAGTCCGCAAATGTCGAAGAAAAACGCCACTTTGATAAATTTGAAAATTGCAAATGAACCGGGGAAAAAAAATTTGCGCCAGAGCAAGAGAGATATAAAACCTTGAGGTCAAGCAGGGAAGAATAGGACTGCCGCCGAGCTAGCTTGAAGGCGCGGAGAAGGATTCCGATGCCCACGCGGACGCCATAAGAGAGGAGGAAGCTCTGACAGAGGTTCCCTATTGCATTGGCGACACAAGAATCATCGGCATGGTCGCACGGCGGATGAAGGCCACGCGCCGAGCGCTGACGTCGCTGAAGCTCCTCAATTGCATCTCTCAGTCGTTCCTCCGCCTCACGGAGCCGTCGCTCAGCAGCAGCTCCACTGTCGAGAGTCTCAGCTGAGAGTGGTGGTGGGGGCGGCAGACGAGAGGAAGAGGACAGAGAAGGCATCTTCGGCTGCGGGTAATCGAGGGTTTCTGCATCTGACAGCGTAATCTAAAAGTGTTCTTTAAGCGAGAAATTCAAGAACTGGAAAGGAAAAAAGGAGAAATTTTTTAAAAGATGATGCAATAAATGACTGAGACGCCAGTATTTGGATCCCACGAATACGATGAACATTGAACACGGTGTGCGGGAGTTTATTTCTGCTAACGTGCGCCTTCGTAAATGTAACGGAACGGAAAGTTGATGGGATACAGCGTGAAATGGGCGGATGATGGGTATTTTCGACATTTGCCTCCAGTGCTCAACTTTTTGTTTTAACAAAAAAAAAAAAAAACCTTTTTTCCCCTTTCCAAAAATATCAACAACGTAGATAGCTTCTTTTTTTTTTTTTTCTTTCCCCATCCATATATGAAAAACAAAAATATAAACAACTAGATTGCTTTTTAAATCTTTTTTTTTTCATACATATTATCAAAACAAAAATACTTGCTATAAAAATGCTTTTGAATAATTCCAATGATAAGTTTCTAACTAATTATGCCTCACTAAATGATACTTACGTGTGTATTAGATAAATACTCTAAACACGATTCAATTATCACCTTAAATATAATTTAATTAGTTACGTTTCGTCATGTCTCGCAAAAAAAAAAAAATCTAAAATTGCCACTAATAGAAAATTAAAAATATCATTAAAGAACTTGAACACGCATATACAAAATACACTAATCCACGAAGTGGTTCACTACAAAATGTGGTGGATTTCTAATAATTTATAGTAAAAACTTTCTTTTATACTACGTAGTAGTTAGTAGTTAATTAATCGGCAGCGCCAGTTTGATCTTTCCAGGAAGATTGCCATTGCTTGTCATAGAAAGTGGCCTCATCAGCTAACTTTTGCAGCTTCTCAAAGTCGTCTTTCTTTCTAAACAGGACTACGCCAATGACAGTGGCGAACACGGCAGCTTTGCACACAAAATTGCCTGTTTGGCCTACCACGTCAATCCCAGTCAATCCATCCACCAAATACGACATAAAAAATCCCACCATTGCTGCCCGACCTGCAAAATCAACATTTTGATCATCTGTTTTGTTAAAAAATTTGCGGGGGCGGGAGAAATGGTTTGGAAAATCAAGGGACCATTTAGTAGCTCAGCCTCAGGAAGGTGGGAATGAGTGATCCAAGCCCACCATGGTATGATAGAGCTTCTGAAAAGAACTGGCTCTTGGTTTGTTGCTGCTTCTGGATATAATTCAAGAAATCTTCTCCTATTTGCTTCTGTACAAAAACATACATTTACATTTCTTTTGCTTGAGCAAATGAAAGATATTGTATCCTTCTAAGAAAGAAAAGTAAAATGATAATATGAGTATTTTCACACCTGCGGAGATCACCGAATGCCAATCCATTCTGCCGCGCTTGATGAACATGTTCAAATCCCATGTACCATTCTTCCAGCGTTCATCCACAAATTTCGTACTGGGCGGTTCTTGTTCTGCAAGATCCTGCTTTTCATTCTTAGTGACTGGAAGGGGGCTCTGGTATCTATGAACTTCAAAGTTCGATGGCCGAACATGGGTTGTCTCTTGCGCCGTCCCTAAAGAACTCGCCGCTGCCCTTCCAGCCTGATGTACGGTGGAACACCGGAAGCTGGGAGCTGCATTCATTGAGGCATAGATGGAAATTGATGCCATGAAACTATGGCTAATCTTACTTCTTAGTAATAATAAATAAACTATAAAGGTAGAGAGGGCAGCACTAATAAAATGGCCTTTACTTCGAATAAATAACCTTATCCGGTTATCCTCCATGCCCACAGTCATGGGCATTGCAGCAGGCCATCCTCTGTACCTGCTTAATTCTGTTCTTTTTTACCTTCGACCATGACAACCACCGCCCAAGCAGTCAAGCACCCTAAATATTTATTTCGGGAAATGGAATTCATATTCAGTTGAAATCTAAAAGGAATATTTATAAAGGCAACCATATGTAAAGTTAAATCCAAATGGATCTTCATAAAAATTGCAATGTCAACAACCTTCTACACATCCGCACTAAAAAAATTAATGTTGGATGAGGAGGCAGGTTGGTAAAAGTTTCCAAAAATAATAAGTCTCCATAAAAGAAAAAGGTGAATGCAACAAAGAGGTATCATTAGATTCCTAGCAGCCTCATTAATCTAGATGACACGACCTCCTCCCCATGTATGTAAAATGCTTATTAGGCTTCCCAACCCCTTAAAAGGGTAGCACGCGCAACGCGGTTCACTCCAAGCGTGAATGCACCCATGCGGAGATTGCAGTTGTGAGTCTGGCACAAGCTCTTAATGTTATGGAAGGCTTTTGTCATGTATCTCTGAAGCTCATTGTTTACTTTCGCTTCGTCCCACATAAACCCTTGTATATTCTGCAAAACAAAATGAAATGCAATGAGCATATTAGTTAGTTCAAACTGGGACGAATACTCAGAAGGCAATGCTTTTACATAAGTTGGATCATACAGCCCTGGAAATAACAAATACATAGAACCAAAAGCACTAGCAATTCATACTGGCTTCAGAGACATGTGCCCTCTGTTGCTTATGAAATAGAATGGATGATACTAGAACATCGACTTACATGGCAGGGAAACTAAATTACATCATTCTACATTGCAGAATTCAACTAGGTAACTTACCTGAACCCACTCAAAGTAACTGACGGTGACACCTCCAGCGTTAGCATAGATATCAGGAAGTATTATGACACCTTTCTTAGAGAGAATCTGCAAATATTTTTTAAAAATGTAAATATTACAGAAAAGCATGATTGAACCAAAACTATCTGGCAGGAAAAATACCTCATCAGCTTCTGGATCAGTAGGATGGTTAGCTGCCTCTATGATGAACTTCGCCTTCACATCCCCAGCATTTTCTCTTGAATGGTTACAGAGAACGCAGGGATAGGTTACATGGTATACCCATTAACTTCTTTATACAAAAATAATGAAGTAATTCCAACATTTATGAAATATTAAAATCGGAAAGCACAAAATTCCCCTAATAGTTTCTTTTAATTAAGAGCTCTTGTAATAAATAACTTCAAGTCTACATCAATCAAGATAAAATATGATGGTATAGAAACATATGACTCCACATATAGGGAAAATAGATCCTGGTATATCAACAGGAAGCAAAGAGGTATAAAATGCAACAGGAATAGAACAAACGAAAAGCATATTCACTTTTCTTCCTAATAATCAGAAGCAGCAAAATAGGTTAACAAAGCACAGTGACAGGCTGCATGCCATAAGCAACGAGGAGTATTAGAGGCAGACCTGTTCAGCACTCCACCTAGAGCACAAGGCACAAGAACGTCGCAGTCATACACGAGCACCTCATTTGGATCCATGGCATCTCCACCATTGAAATCAGCTAACTTCCCAGTTTTGTCTTTATGAGTTAGCAGAGCTGGAATATCAATACCATTAGGGTTTTTAATGGCTCCAGTTATGTCACTCACTGCAACAACTTTGCCACCTCTCTCGTGAATAAGCTTTGCGGCCCAAGATCCAACATTTCCAAACCCCTACAAATTTCGAGGGTTCACAACTAGATTAGTTTATGAGGAAAATTTGCAAGTATGGAGAAAAATTTTATCAAGCAAGTAGATGTAGTACTTGAATTGCAAAGGTCATATCTTTGATAGCCTTTCCATGTTCAGCAAGTAATGCTTCAGTACCGAAGACAACACCACGGCCAGTGGCAGCTTCCCGGCCAAGAGATCCCCCGAGATCCTGACATAAGAAACATATCCATGCATTAATCATTTAAGTGAAATCATCTATCTGTTAATCCAACTAAAAGCAGACTGAATGTTCATTCCGATATGGAAGTACTTACTATGGGCTTCCCAGTTACAATAGCAGGGGAATATCCATGAAACTTTGAGTACTCGTCCAAAATCCATGCCATAGTCTGGTCATTCAAACATCTCAAAATTTCCAGGATATACAAGCAAAACTAGGGTATGAAAAATGTTTGACATGGAATTAGAGCTATCAAGACCTGGGAATTAGTGCCCATGTCTGGTGCAGGGACATCTGTATTAACTCCAATAAGATCATGAATCTTCTGTGTGAAGACACGAGTAAGGCGTTCCAACTCGCTTGTGCTTAGCTCCTTGGGAACACATCCAATGCCACCTTTAGCTCCACCATATGGTATATCGGCTACAGCAGTCTTCCAAGTCATTAATTGGGCAAGCGCATTAACTTCATCGGGGTCAACCTTGTCGAAGCAACATAAAAAAAAAATTAAAAAAATAAAAAAACATGTAAGAATCCAATACTGTTGTAAGACACTTCACATTCTGATGTTTGTTGCTTTAGAAGAGTTAAAACATGTACAGGAAAGCAAGAAGGAGGCAAGTGCCTCCAGGTATCTTTAAGCAGATGCAAGAATTGGAAAGAGTTATACAATGAATTCAACATGGTATATCTTGTCACTCAATGAAATACTGACAGGAGTTACAGACAAGTTGAAGTGACGTCTAAGAGTCACTGGATTTTGCACTACAAAGGATAACCCAATGGAACGTAGATAGACAAAGACTAATATGGCATAGGCTGATGAATCTTAAAGGCAACCCATATTTGACAGTCATAAGTAATAAGCTTTCACTAAACCTTTCTATTTTATTCATCACAGTGCACGCATTAATATAAAAACCAGAGATCAAATCCAACATAAGATGTATACGACATGCTTCGTCAGATAAACATGACTGAGAACCATAGAAAACAGGGTTAAGCAAGGCTTCCCCTACTCTGTGGGAGTTAACCACCGACAAAATCCAGATACTTTTACCATTCAGTGTACTGTATCAGGTTTTCTTTTCTTTTTCCAAACAAACAACTTGATCTCTCCAGGCATTGTCACTTACACTTACAGATATTTCCGGAAAAGGTTTAATCCTTTATAATCCACAAGGTACAACCCCAAACCCCAACACCCCCAAAAAAAAAAAAGAAAAGAAAAGAAAAAGTAAGTTATTGACTAATCTGTCGAATGTACAATAGATTATAGACCCCATAAGAACCAGAACATGCTTAAGGACCCTGGAATTTGAAATCCAGTGACTCCAGAATAAACTTCAAAATCCAACAGATTACAATTAAAAGGAAAAGGCAATAATTGACACAGGCGGCAAAAATCAAATCATGACAGAAAAGTTTGACAGAAAAGCACAGTAACCGGGAAAATCCAAAAAACCTGTAACCCGAAAAGTTGACATTCAACAAAATCATAAGTTTTAAGTTCTTTAACACATGAATTACCTCTGGATGGTATCGAATTCCTCCCTTCATGGGACCACGCGCGTTATCATGTTGCACTCTGAATCCAACAAAAGACACCAAAGTTCCATCATCTTTTGGAATAGTACACTCCACCTGATCAGAACCACCCGAGGATTAATAAAAGTTAAAAATTCATAACACCAACAACAAACCTTCTCAAACAACAAAGTGATCACCAAAAAAAACAAAAAAAAAAAACTAAAGAACCCATAAAACCTCTCACAAAAGAACAAACATTCAAAAAAATAAAAACAAAGTACCTTAATTTCCCTGAAAGGAATCAAAAGACTTCTCTCAATCTTGGAATCCAGCCCAAGAATTCGAGCGGCCTGACGAAAGTTACGGTTTGTAGCTGCAAGAGCATTCATGACTAGCTGGCTTTTCTGGATTACAAACAAAATGTTTCACGAGAAACAGAAAGGGTAACCCAGAGAAAAAGTAAAAAAGCAAAACTGTAACCGACAGCGATAAAACCCAGACGAAAACTGATTACAAAGCTGCTTTGCGTATGCACCTTAGGCAGAATGTATCTGCGCGCATTTATAGAGGGAAGAACGAAATTGTTGAAATACTGGAGAGAAGACAGAGTGGTGGGTCCGGTCCCGGGTCGGGCCGGGAAGAATGGATGAGGATCTTTTCCATTTTGGTCATCTTTGGTGGGGGGGGGATGGGGGGGTTTTTGTAACGTTTGAGTTGATTTTGTTTTTGAGCATTGACTAGGGATGAAAGAGTTAGGTTGAACGTTCACAAGGGTCAAATTTTTTGTAAATTTGCTGACACATAAAAATAATGTTTTATTTTTTACCAGGTGGAAGGAATATTTTGAGGTTTCAGAGCTGTCACTCTCAATATTTTAGTAATTCACTCAACCAAATTAACTTAGGTACTCATTTTACCAACTAAATTATATTTTTTACGTCTTTAAATTACTTATTAATAGTAATTTATAATCTTTGATAATTTAGAATAAAATAAGTCAGAGAGTCATTTTAGGACATATAGACTATGTATCATAATATAAATATTCACCATGTCAGTGGTTTCACACAAATTTCCCATCATTGCTTCACTTTTTATTGCAATATGTTTCTTTATATTTTTTATTTAGCATCATATAAATCAAGGCAATTAGTGACAGAGATCAAGAGTCCACTTTTTGTTTTTTCCGATTTCGTGCACTACCAATAAGGTGTTTAAAAAGCTTTTCTCCTTTTTGAAAAACATAATTAGTACTCCCTCCGTCCCATAATTATTGTCCAGTTTGAGTTTTCATTTTTAGTTCAAATTGTATTAGAAGTGAAATCTCAAACTGGACAATAATTTTGGGACAGAGTGAGTACTATTATAGTAAATGGGCCAAAATTAATGATTTGGTGATAGATGTTTCGAGCAAACACAATAACTGTATTTTTTTTATTTTTCCCCCTTATTTTTCTCTCTTCCTCCACTTTTCAAGATGCAGAAGGTAGTACTACACATTATATAATAATCTCCAGTAAGTCCCAAAAATATAAGATGATCTTGTATTGTTCTACACCTGATAACCTAGCACAAGGTAGTCAATTACGGATATTCATTGGTTTAAAATAGCCATTATTCTCAAGGAAGCAAAAGGAGCATAAGAAAATGTTATTTATCAAAAGTTATAATTTATCGTGCAAAATATTATGACAAGACAAATATAACAACATACTTATTATTACAAGACTATAGTACTAAACATTTTTACATTGATACACTTCCTCTCGTATTAAATCGCGATGTACTCGTTATTACTCCCTCCATTCCAAAATAAGTGTCATCCTACACTTTGCACATAGTTTAAGAAACTCTTAAATAGGGTAATAAAATTACTTTAATATCCTCAACCAACCCAATTAAAAAAATATCAGGCAATAATATTAACTCTTTTGAGGGTTATTTTTTAAACTTTGAACAAAAAGTGTATTGAAATGTGAAAACGACAATTATTTTGAAATTTTTTCATTTTGCTAAAACGATACTTATTTTGGAACGGAGGGAGTACTTTACAATCCATGGCTTTATTTTTCCTTTTTTTTTTTTTTTCCTTTTGGAACATGATTCTTATAAGTTAATCTTATAACCCAATTAATTCAAAATTTAATATAGTGTGTATGTAGCGCTCCAACTCCAACTCAGACGCGGCGCACCGATAACGTGCAGGATGATGTGGATCTTATTAGGATGAAATAAAAAAGAGTTCAAAGTCAAAGTCCCAGATTTAATAAAATTGATGATAAGCGACAGGGCGGCGGGACGTGGCGTACTAACTACAAAGGAGGAAGGACGTCATTTTCAGAGATATGACTGAAAAGATGAACCTCCGGAATTCAGATTGGCTGTCAGGCTTATATGATGAGTTGAGTTGATGATGATCTGGTAACATTTAATTGTAATTTAAAAGGGTGCTTTTACTCTGCATTAATTTGACGGATCTAGTATATAATAAAAGTATTGAACTAGTTTAAGAAGAAATAATAATCTCTACATATAGTATGTGGTTAAAATAATGAATGTGAAGAGAATTTTGTTTTTCAAAATGAATTTTTTCCCCGAACTCCAATTAAAATTAGTTAGAAAGTACTACTATATTCTCACCTCACGCAGACGTGGTGTGCCAAAAGAGGTGGTGTCATTATAATTCTATTGTATTGATCATTTGATTGTACGCGAAAAAACATTTCAGAACTTAAGAATCAAGCTATATATAAAAATATAATCAAAGTTCAAGGCAAAAAAAAGTAGAATGGCCATGAAAATAAGAAACAACGTTGATGAAGAAGATTGAGGATGACAGTAAGTAAACACAATTCAGTTGTCGTAAATTACAAGATATATTTTTTTTTATTTATTGGGGCCATTTCATAATACATCAAACTAATAAATTTTTTAAAAATATGGGATTAAAATGGTGTTTCTTGGGGGCAAAAAGTAGTAACCAAATCAGAGCATTGCCAAATGAAATACGTACTCGGTGCGATAAATAGTTAGTCCACTGATGCGCTTGTGTTTTGTGACCAAATCGACAAATTTTGGGCTTACTTAGCATGTGTGTTTTGGACAAATATTGCTTCAGTTTCACTTGAATTTCAGAAATTAGTCTCTCAAAAGATAACACGTTTAAATTATGCAATTTACACGTCATTTACCATTTTAGTGGAAGCCCAAGAAAATAAAGGCAATGTGGATACCTGAAGTTATCAAAGAAATAAGCAAGGACAAGATATAAACCTTAACTATGTAGAAATCAACAGAGCTGCAACACTCCCGTAATAAACTTGATGTATTCGGGCTGTTGCCCATATCGGAGAGGCGGAGATATTCCAAATACCCAGTGAAAGCTTCATCCTCAAAGTACCGATTCTGATTTCTGAGCCAAGTCTAGACCATATATTCAAAATTGACATATTAAAAACATAATTTATTGACAAAATTGAAAAGAACCTTTGAACACAAATTTAGGCTTCTAAGAAACGTCCAGGCGAACAAGTCCATAGAAAAAAAAAAAAAAAAGAAGGAATTGTCAGGGGTAATAACAGTTAAATCGCTCACCAATATGAAAGGAAAATACTAAACAATAAAACAAACAGACATGAAAAGTGAAAAGCAGAGGAGAAGAGAGAGAGTACGGTGGATGCTGGTGGGATTAGCCAGGGATTGAACAAATACGAGTTCAATCAGGAAACCGCTAACGCCCGTCATCCGGATCATTGCAAATACTTTTTGGCCTGGAGAAAAATACAAAGTGCTGGGTGAAACTAACTTTCTGCAAATTCAGATAACATGGAGCTTGATTAGCTCGAATGTGATGCACGAGGTGGCAACGAAGACATTCGATATTGTCTTGGTGGGAACCCGTTGGTTAGTCATCCTAAAATGACAGTAAAACCCACCCCATGAAATCCTCTCCTTTCCCTTATACAGGTGTGCAAGTTAACGCTGAGAGTCGGAGGGAAGTAAAGAGGAAAATGGCATTATAGGAACTTTGTTTTTTAGTATCCTCTCCTTTCCCTTATACAAAATTGTATTGAAATCGAAAAATATCTGATTTTACGAAAAGAGTCCGACGTAAAAATCAGATATTCCCAGAGACTGAAGTTTCCTAGACCTATTCTGTATCCTTGAGTTTTCTGGTCATTTGGTGGATGAGAATCGAGATAAAACCACGTGACCACAGTAATTTGCAATCCACTAACTAGGCCTTCTGGGAGCCACTGCGCTTGATTCATGATATGATTTCATTTAAAGAAACGAGAATAATAATGACATGAGTAACATAACCATTCGATGATTTTAATATAACCTGAAATCTTTACAAGCCAAACGACCCAGAAAGAAAAAATGGGGACATTCAATAAAGTATCAACTCAGAAACTGCAGCTAAATGTTATGGCGGCCTCAGACAGTTGATAAATAAAGGCATCTCCATTGGAAGGCGCTGTCTTGTAATATTCACCGCGTATCCCAATCCTTTATCTTCTTACTCCCCTTGGGTTTTGCTATAGGTTTCATTCCAGCCATCTTTGCATCATATTTCTGCCGGAGCGGATCACTAAAAGTCCACCTGCAGGATATACAAATAAAAATTAGGTCGGTTACAGAAACAAATAGGGTCCTGTCCAGAACTTCAGTCACCCTTAAGTTACTACATCAACTCAAGCCTTGCCAGAGGTATGAAGGCCGAAAAGGCCAACTCGAGATGCTAGATACTACATGGATTAAAATGAATCTGTACAATAAACTACAGTAACCAGCCACTAGCCTAAGCTTAGTGCTCACAAGCAAACAATCCAAAAAGCAAATCATGCCCAATTGCAATTGTTTAGATCACATACTTCATGAAAAAATGTTCATCACTAGTCCACTAGGTACCAAGATTGACGCCTAAATAGTATATTACTATTTCAAAACAGCTTCTAATACACTAAATTCAGTTCAAGTTTCTAATAAGGCTACTGAGACGAATGTATTAGAAATTGAACAGCTCTAATAACTCAAATTGATAATTGCAATAAATAAAAGAAATTGTAAAAGGAAGTACTTACGGATTATTCCAATCAGTTGTGTCCTCATTGACAAGGTGAGTCCATTTAGTTCTTCCACTCCGACCAAAGTGCTTAACTTGCATAACCTTGGGCAGAATAGTCTTGTCCATCTTATCCTCTCCAGTTGGAGCAGAGAAATCACGAGTATAAATACTGTCCGAACCAGCAGTTCCAGCACGGTCATCAGCATCAGCCTGGAAGAAAGCACCTTTGTGGTAGTATTTCTGCATGAATGACCATTTTGACTTTCCAGGGGCTGCAGGCTTCGGATTCTTCCTCTCCCATTCCCTCCTTTCCTCCTCTGTCATGTTCCTAACTTTCTCGATCTCTTCTTTCTCCTTTAATGATGTCTCCCTGTCCTCCCTATCCCTCTTGATCCTTGCAATCTCCCTAGCTTTCCAAGTCTCATATTCTTCAGCCTCATTGATATCATCATCAGTATCTACATCGGCAACATTATCCTCAGACTCCATGTTCTTCAGACGCTCTTCCTCCTCACGAATTTTCTCAACCAAAAGTTTCTTTGTCTCAACCTTCCTCTCTTCTAACTTCCTCTTGACCATCTCCTCAAGAGCCCTTTCTTCCTCCTCAAGTCTTTCACGCTCAGCGATAGTATCTCGCTCAGACTTTGGAACAAAAACGGGCTTGATCATAGCGATGCTTCCTGGCTCTTCATCAGAATCAGTCTCATACTCAGATGATTCCTCATCCTTTTCAGGTTCCTCTTCATCTTCTTCCTCAACTGGAAGGAGTGCAGCTTCTTCTTGCTGCCTCTGAAGCACCTTCTCCCTAATTTTCCTTCGCCTCTCCTCCAATGCATCTTCATCTTCTTCATCTACATCCATAGAATCTAGTCCCTTAGACTCCTCCTCCTCGGTGGAAATAATTTCGGCTTGGCGGATACGCCTGTGATCAGACCTAACTTCCTCGCGATTATCAATCCTACTCTCAGCCAAACGACGCAACCTAGGATCGTCCTTTCTAACAGGGTCAAAAAAAGATTCTTCCTGAGCAGGGAAGGCCTTGTCAAGGGCAGCAGCCCTTGACATCCTAATATCTCCATCCTCATCGTTATCATCAGCCCATTCAGGGGCTTTTCCCGGCCAGTAACGCTTGACTTTGGTCTGCCCTATCTTACCCCTAAGCTTATCCCTAATCGCAATCACCGTATCACTAACCCCTGCCGTGACAGACATGGCTAAAATGCTTTTCCTTTACCCTAACCCTATGCTTTTCAATCTACGTAACGCGAATATCACGAAATTTACTCCGCCTCACTGAAAGCCCTAACAATTAAGAGGACAATAGGTGAGAATTACCTCGGTAACGGATGCTCCGACCAAACCCTTGCCTCCAACAGCATCAGAGACCGTGGATTTAAGAAACGCCGGCGTAAGAACGCGGGTGAATTTGTCGAGTCGAATCGAATCGAGTCGTTGGTAGGGCTTTTGTCGGGATTGGGAGGACCATTAAATGGTTTGGGGGGGTTAAAATTTCGATTCTCCGGCCTCTCAATCTTTCTTAAGTCGGCGGCAAAGCCGCAAAAGGAAGAGATTAACTGCGTTTTGAGTGGTCCGAGGTCGTTTTAAGAGAAGAATTGGATTGTTGGGCTTGATCCCAATGGGCTTCTTAACGGACTTCTCTAACACTAGGCCGAAACTGAAAAATTTATTCCTGCAAACAAAAGTTTTTTTTTTTTTTTTTTGTTTTCCCTCCTTGTTTGGTTGCTTTCATTTCGATTCTAAATTAAAACTGATAAGTGGAATACGCTGGGGTGATTTTTTTTTTTTTAAAAAAAATAAAGTACGATTGTTAATATAAAAATTAGGATTGTTAATATTAAGACACATATAAAAGAAGAGTTGCCGCTCGTTAATGATTATAATAACGATCTGCGTCACGTAAAAAAGTGACATTTTTATTTAGCACACGAAGCAATTTATTTCGTAGCAATTTCTCATTTTGTATTTGGTTTACACTTTACATGCCCGTGTTAGGCGTCAATTTCATCAGGTTTTACATACACAATGAAAATGAATCACATTAATATAGCCATACTTTCAGAAAAAGAAAACCAAAGCAACACTAGAGAATGATTATTTCTCGGGTGTGTATAATTTCAACAAAAACCATGTACGTATTTTCAACAAAACTAGGAGAAGCTGACCATCTCTTTTGTCTGTTTCTGCATGCATCACAATCATTTCGTCAACCCACAGGCCGGCAGCATCCAGCCTCCATTTGTCGGTCTCTCATGGATCAGTTCTTCAAATTATACGATCAGTTAAATTACTTCTTATGATTCTGCAAGACACGATGGTTTATAAACTTGACATCATTGTTTTTAGTTCGTCGGCTATGAATTCAGCCGACCCGCCTGTCAAGCTTCCTTATTTATAGTAATTGACTTTGATCATAGTCATACGTATTGCTTCTCCGGTAATCCGGAACAAATTGAGAATATGGAAGTTCTCCCATGGACGGTGCCCCTGTTTCTGGCAACTATATTTGCCCTATTTGGAGCTTATTGCTTCAAACTCAAATACATTCTTCCACATTTCAGGAAGAATCTTCCACCAGGAAAACAGGGATTTCCTCTGATCGGAGAGACCATAAGCTACATCAAGGCGCTGAAACAGGACAGAGTACATGAGTGGGTTCAAGATCGGGTGAACAGATTCGGACCAGTGTTTAAGACATCACTCATGGGTGTCAAAACCGTGGTGATTACTGGCCAAGCCGGAAATCGATTCATTCTTGGCGGAAGTGATAATGGGCTTGTAAATTACCTCCCAGCATCGGCTATTAAAGTGATCGGAGAGAAGAGCCTCAGTAATTTATCCGGCCCTGCTCATAAGCCCATCAGGTTGGCAATAATGAGCTTCCTGAAACCAGAGAGCATCCAGAATTATGTTACCGAAATGAACTCATTGATCCAACAAGAACTAATCCAGGTACTTAAGTTTTTCTTAAAATTCAACATGATATGTCAAATTTATTGTTGAATTCGGGAGATGTTAGTGAAAGCGATGTGCAAATTGATATGATTGCAGGAGCTTGGCGGAAAAGATTCAATATACGTGGTCCCATTAGTGAAGAAGATTACTTTCAAGGTTACTAGTACTCTGCTCTTTGGGCTACGTGGAAATGGAGATAAAAAACTAGATGACCTCTTGGAAAATTATAATTTAGTCTTGAATGGTACTTGGTCCATTCCCTTGAACATTCCAGGTACTTCCTTTGCCAAATCAATGAAGGCTCGAGCTCTAATTCTACAATATTTTTCCGGTCTGGTTGAGATGAAGAAGCAAAAATTTGAAGCTGGAGAACTTGGTCCGCGAGATGACATATTATCCAAATTTGTGAGTGAAAATTTCTCAGAAGAGGAGATTTTTGACAATATTATATCCCTAATGATTGCTGGTCATGATACAACAGCAGTTGTTGTAACCTTGTGCATTAGGCTGCTTGGCAGGGACACTGACATTTTCAACAAGGTTCTACAAGGTAATCAGTTCTTTCCTTCCTTTTTCTATTCAGAAAACAGGGTCTTCAGGCTAAGTGACTGAACTGGAGAGTTGAAATGATTGAAGTTGCTTTAACTTTTTGGGATGCCGCAGAGCAAAGAGAGGTTGTTAAGGTTAAAGATGAAAATGGAGGGCGGATAAGATGGAGTGAGATACAAATGATGAAGTATACATGGAGGGTTGCTCAAGAAGTTATGAGATTGATTCCTCCTGTTGCTGGAACTTTTAGACTTGCTCAGAGGGACATCATCTTTGGTGGCTTTCAGATACCCAAAGGATGGCAGGTACGTAGTTACTTTGATAGATTAGAGTGTAACAAAATTTTATAACACTGCTTAAAAATACATACATAGGACGAGTAAAGTATATTGAGACTGATATAGTAACATTCAAAAGCGACTCATAAAATTAGTGGCCATATTATATCTGTAATTATTTTTCACTACAGATGGATGCACATTAAACACCATGCCAAAACATTTTGCAGGTAATGTGGGCTGCTCCAAGCACACACATGGACGATAATATATTTAAGGATCCTGGAAAGTTTGATCCATCCCGCTTTGAGAATTCTTCTGGGATTCCCCCGTATTCTTATGTAGCTTTCGGAGCAGGTCCACGGGTTTGTCCTGGGTCGGAGTTTGGTCGGGTTCAAGTACTACTGATGCTTCATTACATGGTTACTAATTACCGGTGGCATGAAAAAATTCCCAACGAGCCTATTGAACGTGCAGGCATGCCTTACCCTGCAAAGGGTCTTCCAATTAATCTCCGACCCGGGAAATGATGAAGAGACTGTAATGTCAACTTTGTTATGGGATTCAGTCAACGGCATCAGTCTTTTAAGTTTTAACATTATGCAAAAAGACGCCATGAAATAATCAACATTTAGGACATTGTTGGTGTAGAGTAGAATTGACCAAGAAAGGCTTTTTTATCTTTTTCTCTTACACTTTTCTTCTTTGGATGGCGAGTTGTCCATGGAAAAAAAATTACAGTCTTTTATTCACATAAATCATCCATTTGTTGCAGAAAATGACTATTAATATATTTATTAACAGGTCCAGTGTTCAATTTTCGCTTGGTCATCTTTTTGTTTGTTTTTTTTTTTTATAAAAAAAAAAGAAACCGTACATTCATGTTGAAGGGTTGTTAATTCTGGTTTATCTCCTTTGAATGTTTGGCTCAAAAGGTATAAATAATCGTTACAGCTCATGCATGTTCATTGTTCGCGGTTTCAATGGGCGTTAATAATTCTGCGGACACGTTTGCCAACAAAATGGAACCCTTTGATTAACAACTTTGGCTATTTGTTTTTTTTTTTTTTTTTATAAAAAAAAACACCCATCAATTGGCTTTGCGCTTGTACATGGAAGCATAACTCAAAAATCTTCCACGTAGCCGATGAGAGAGTAGATTTATTAATTTTTATACCGACAAAGGGTTCGTAAATAATACATACACGCCTAACTACATCGTCGACCAAGACGGTAATTAATTGTCTCAACGACAAAAATTCCGATGGTACTGATTAAATGGTAAAAGACCATTCTTTCTGAAACTAAAATTGTTTTTCTGTTGTTTCTACTTTTTCAACACTATATATAATTTCAGTGATGCATTTTCCACTGGTTTTTTATGCAGCAGATGCCACAAATATGCGATACGGTCATTAGAAACCTTATTTGCAATGCCTCTCTTGTCGAGGTCAAAGAATAGAGAGTATAATACTATGTGTTCATATAGTAGTATAAAAGTATCCAATTATGTTCCCGCGCGACGCAAATCTTTTCAAAGCTTTGGGGGAGGAAGCAACCAGGTAGAAGCCTTAATATATCCAAGACTCAAATATGGTTTGGCCTCTGCTTCAGTTAGCTTCTTGGTGTAACTAATCCTACCAGCCAAATTCGATCCGGCTCCTTTACAGTTGAATTCTCCGAAGAGCACCGTCCTGCATTAATATTCATTCAATTTCACCTCCATTAATGATCATCAATAACATAATTAATGACCGCTGTAATTATGTACTAATAACTGATTGATTAATTGAATTCGCGAATCAAAAAAAAAAAAAAAGAAGAAAGAAAAAGGAAAAAGCAATGCATATCCGCCGGGAACTTACTTGTCAGATTCGGGCATCTTGTTGTCGGACCACCCTTCAGGATGAACCACGTCACTCATGTCAGTGTAAGAAAACACGACGATGCCGTACGGCATCCATGTCCTTCCCAGGAAAGCGGTTTTGCCGGTTCCGGTAACCTTGCCGTGGATAAATGAATATCCGGTATCTTCATTCGCGTTATGCCTTGCTTGTGCGGTGATGAAGGCCACCGGATCACCCGGTATCACGTGGGTCTCAACATTCTGCATATTTCAACATTAACATTAACCTATTAAGAATGTAAATTTGATGAACAGAGTTAATCATAATGCACGATGAATTTAGTTGCATTTTACCAAATAGATGGATTTGCCATTGCCAAAAATGAAATCCACGGTTCCTTCAATGTAGCAATCTTTGAAGAAATGAAGCCCTTTATCGTCACAAATGGTGTCTTGAAACCCAATAAATCGGCAACTATAGAAGGCCGCTTTGTCCCCTGAAATTCTCAATGCCTCTGCCTGACCACCTTTCTGCCCCATTGCCGGTCTCGGAGCTGTATTCTATTTTGATGAAAAGAAGGAAAAGTTCAAAAAAAAAAATCAAAAAAAAAATAAAAGAACAAATGAAGGGTTATATTATATTTTATTATTATTGCAGATACCAACCACAAAAACGATGTTGACAGCCATGAAGTAATCGGATTCAATGATAACGGTGGCGCTATCTAATGTGCCGAATTGGGCTGCTGTACCGGATCCAAGAAACGACGGCCTGTCCTTCGGGTCTCCGTATAATGTGACGAATGGTTTGGTGGTTGGGATCTTCACCCTCTCGTTATATTTTCCGGGTGCGATTTTGATCACGACCCGGTTCGTGTTCCCGTCCGGGATGCTCTTCACGGCGTCAGTCAGCGTCTTGAAATCCCCACCTCCGGCGCCGTTTACGTTAATGATTTTCGCCCGGCCGGTCTCCGCCTTCGCCAGGGCTGCGTCCAATCCTTTCCGGGAGGCGGAGGGCTGAACATTTTGACTGAACCAAGTTTCCACTTTGGCTAAATCCGCCGGCGCGGGTACATTATCATCAGCCATTACTATCAATGGCATGATCAATAAGACAGAAAAAACCATGGCTTCCAAGAAAACAATATTTCGGCCCATTTTGCTTGTTTGTTGTTTCCTTTTCTTTGTTCCGTTGTGGGTTAACATTGAATGAATCAGGATGCAAGATGAAGCTATTTATAGATGATGAAGGAAGTGGGAAGAGAAACAGAGTTGAATTGTTTAAGCGAAGAAGAGAGGAGGAGATGAACAAGCGGGAACACATAGTGGCCTAATGATTTGTGTGGTTTGTGATTGGTTCCTTTTTTAATGTTTAAACTAACTGAAAATTGTGCCTTCTCTGTGAAGGTGCGGGGAAAAAAAAACAGTAAGTATATATGTTTCTGTTATAGCTAAGAAGTTTCTTTCAACCCAAAAATGGAAAGGAAAAAAAAAAGGCCAAGTACTTTTATAAATGGCATATGTTTTTGTTTCTTTTTTTTTTTTACTGAAAAAATAAAAATTAAAATGGGAAAATTCTTATAAAATGGCCACATTTAATTAGCTACTACTGATTCTAAATTCATTTAGATCGTAGTTAAATGGCCATTAATTCGCAATACTCTTGTCTACCACTGCATGATCTAATTTCTTTTTACCTTTGTTTTGGGTAAAAGTAAAATCAAACTCTTAAAATCAAATGCAATCATATTGCCAAAATTTTTGTAAGTACAAAATGTAAAAGATAAAGATTATAACAAGTTAATTATTGCAGTTGAAAAAAGATGGTCAATTGGGTTTTCTAATCAAATCAACATCATCATTCTATTTTTATTAGTGAAAAAAAAAATACAAATTTGGAGATTAGGATGGAAATGGTAATTACCAAGAATTCGAGGGTTCAATTTTTATTGGGCCATCCAATATAAGAAACACACACACACACACAAATCTACGCTTATATTAGATAGAATTCCCTCTTTCATAAAATTATTGTACAGTTAAATTTTTAATTTTAGTTTAATTTGTACTAAAAATAAAAATTCAAACTCTACAATAATTTGGAGGGTGGAAGAAGTATATTTCATGAGTGAAAAACGGACCAATCATAAACATCATTTGATGAATTATAAAAATTAAACACGAAACATGCCATTTCCTTTTGGTACAATTTCGTAATTTCCGTGATATTGCTATTGTATTACAATATAATTAATTGGGCTTTATAGATTTTGCAAGAGCTTCACCAACATAACCTACATATATGGAATTTGAATTAGCAAACAACGGTAATTAAATATATCCTATATTTATTCTTGTTTGTTTACTCAAGTGAGAGTTTTCAATTTATGGGATTGAATTTATGTTTTAATAAATAGACTACTAAAATAGGACGGAAAGAGTAATATTTTCTTTGAAAAAAATACCTTTGGAACCAAGTTATATGTTGCTGAAAAGAGGATGAGGAAGGGCATAGAAAGGGCTATACGTTTTTTTTGAAATAAAAGTTATATTATATTATTTTACTAGAAATCGTCCAGTAACGATTGATAATAAAAGATACAGTCGAAACAAGATCACAATTTATAATCAAACTTAATGCTATTGTTGTGTTTCTCATAGATAAATCTATCTAGATCTATTCAATACAAAGATGGATATACACATGCCCGATAATCAATATGATCAAAAACATATCTCTAATCATCTGATGAAAGCCGTAAATCATAGATATATTATATAAATCTATGATGACTGAATCTTCTTGAACCGCATCATATGAAGCAACTGACAAAACTACGGACGTCGCAGCAACAATACGGAAAACACCACGAACACTGCAAGAAAAACCCTACCCTCTCAATAGATTATTATTAATCTACTGAAGGAACTATAATTTGAAGGACAAATTTCACTTATTAAACGATAAAACAACTATAAATTAAGAAAAATCAAATCAATTTCCCCATCGACCCATGAGAGAAAATGGGAAAAGAGAATTTTTTTTAAAGAAGCGGCTATGGTTTGAGAGAATAGAGAGAGAAGAGAAGAGGAGAATAGAGAGAAAAAGATTAAAAACGGCTATACTTTGTCAGTCTGTCTACAGTTACTAATATATCATCATTACCATGCTCTGAAGTGGGTAATCTATCAATGAAATCTATCGAGATGTGTCTCCATGCTTGTTAAGGAATGTTCAAAAGTTGCAATAATCCCGACTATTTGACATGCTCTGATTTGTTTCTTCGACATACCTCACATGATCTTATGAACTCCACAGCTTCTTGCTTCAAATATTAAATGATTCCCGGTAACATAGTGTTTCCATTTTTTCACGGCTATAACCACTACAAGCAATTACTTTTTGTAGATGGAGAACTCTGTATTTATGAATTGTGATTTTATTTGTTGTATTATGTTTTAACCTATAAATATTCTTTTCCTACACATGGTAGTGCACCTATACGTAACTCTCGTTGAACTTAAATCGTGGTTAAAAATCTGACGCATATAGTACACCGATACATGATTCCTGTTAGACTTAAAACGTAATAAATATTCAACACATAACAGTACACTCGTACATAACTCTCGTCAGACTTAAAATGTGGTATAAATCCAACACATAGTAGTACACATGTACTTAACTCATGTCAGACTTAAATATGATAAAAATCCGACACATAATAGTACACTTGTACATAATTCTCATTGGACTTAAAAAATGTTGTAAAATCGAACACATAATAGTACACTTAAATACGTAATTCCTAGATGCCGGACTTAAAACGTGGTAAAAATTCAACACATAAAAGTACACATGTGCATAACTCCTGTCTGACTTAATCCATTGTAAAAATCCGGCACATAAGAGTATACATGTACGTAATTTCCACCGGACTTAAACCACGACTAAAATATGAGACACGAAATTATGAGAGTTTCTCATAATACTGTGAGAGTATATACTCTTACCTTTCCATTTATTATTGTACATTTAGTATCAAATCAAGAGTATCTCTACATAAAGTAAGTACGGATCATGAATCTCAATTTTTGCGAAGAGAACTGTATAATTTAAAGAATATTTGATTCTAAAATTCATGCACGTGAATTGCCCGAACACAACAGTAGTCTAAACAATTTATAAGATTAAGTATATACTCCTTGGACTAATTTCATCACGGTCTTTGTATCAATATTCATAGCTAGTTTCACTATCGCCGAAATCCGTTTTGTCATGTCACAAGCAATTCTTTTTCGTGTACCGAGAGCCATTTATTTACAAATGGTTCTTATTCTTTTTTGCTATATTATGGTTTCGCCCATAACTCTCGTTGAACTTAAACCGTGATTGAAAATCTGACGCATAGTAATACACCAATACAAAAAATCCTATTGGGCTTAAAACTTGATAAATATACGACACGTAATAATATACATTTGTTGAACTTAAACATTGTAAAATTCGGACACATAATACTACATTTGTATGTACACTACTAGAAAACTAGTCTTTCATGACATTCTTTGAAAAACTTTTAAAGGCACTAATTCTTAAATGTCACAATAAAATATTTTAAAGCATTTTGCTATAGGAAAATATTTAAGATACATTTTGATGGAAAATTTTAAAGACATATTTAAAAAGAAATGTCATCATACATGCAATCTTTTTAAGGCATTTGACTGTAGTAAAAAGTTAAGCTAACTCTTGCATAGTTAAAGAACCATTATCAAGTAGTTTTTTTCACGTCCAATAATTACTAGTAGTTATCTTATTCTTTTTCTTCTTTGCAGGAAGAATCGCTAGTAGTTAGTTATTTGTGTCAACCATTTTCTCCACTTTCCTAAAGTTTCTCATATATCTGTGATACAGTTCAACTCAAATACAATTCTTCACTAAAACCCAAAGCAAATCAATCACGCCAAAATATCAAGTGATTTGGGGTTTAATTTTATTTCTTATAGAACTACCCTTTTAGCTCAATCAATCTTCAACTAATGGAATTCGAAGACTTCCGGTTTGAAGATTTTGTCTAATTGTTCTATTTTTTTTCATTGCCCAAGGTATGCAAAATACAGTTTTTGAACTTATATCTTAGCACCTTTCAAATGAGTTTAAAAGATGAGAGTATGAACTTTATGGAGTAATTATATCTTTTATCCCTTTCCACCTATTATGCCATGGTTTGATTTTTATTCTTTGATTTTGAGTTCGTCTATGCTCATGTTGATTAGAGATAGGCAATATGACCTCTATACTTAAACATGTATAATATTGATTTCATTTTTCTGGGTGCTTTTAATGATGATTAGATGTGAAGAATAATATTAGATCTGTGGTTGTCCCCAGGGAAGGTGAATTCAAGACAAATATTCAAGTTTAAACAATCTTGAAGGATGCAACAAAGAAGAACAACGAATACAGCTTAGAGGTTGACGAAGAACATGACGAGGAAGATTATTATATGTATATAAATATTAGTTTGTTTTTTTCAAGCCAATATGGGAATTTGAGATAGAGTTAAGAATTTTTTTGTTTCTATAATACTCTCTACATTCCAAAATAAGTGTCATCCTACACTTTGCACATATTTTAAGAAACTCTTAAATAGGGTAATAAAATTACTTGAATATCCTCAACCAATCTCATTATAAAATTGTCCACCAATAGCATAAACTCTTTTGAGAATAATTTTAGAAACTTTTGACAAAAAGTGTATTGAAATGTGAGAACGACACTTATTTTGGAATTTCTCTATCTTGCTAAAACAACACTTATTTTGGAACGGAGAGAGTAGCTTATCTTTCGTGTATTTTCTACACTAGTGATGTAGCACATTGTAATTGACTTCTATAATTAAAGTATAAAATTTTTTTCGGTGCATTTTTATTCATTGTTTATATGGTGGTAATATGATATGATGTTTTCTAATAAAGGAAAACAACAACAACAACAACAACAACAACAACAATAATAATAATAATAATAGCTCATTTATTAGTGTGGGGATAGATTATACGTTACCTCACTTATGTCCTGCCAAGTAATCTCCTGTGACACTTACAAGTGTCTTAAAATTTAGTCTTAGGAGACACTTTAATGACCTTAAATGGTATGTATCATTACATTTTAAATGTCTTTATAGTTTATC